TAGAATACTGGTTTACTTGAACAACAACTAAGTATGCATGTATGTCACTACGAACATTTCTTTACAGCTTTTTTCATTTAAGCAACAGAACACAAGAGGGAGTTCGAATCGCGAAATGACATCACATATTTGTGATAACACACGACCTTGAGTGTTCCATTGTTTTTATACAACAGTTAAATAAATAAAGTAAGAAATAAATAAATTGGGCCGTGAACATGGCATTTAATGTGTTTTAATGTTAGCAGTTCCTTCCGCCAAATTGTAGTTCCTTAACAAGCAGCTCATTGCTACGTCAGAGTAACAAACTCCGCTCACTTGCTGCACAGCCAGCAGTTTGCTCTCCAGCTCTACACTAAATTCCGAAACTGTCATTACCACTGTGCAAGCTTTGTTTTTTATGGCGGCAGTTTTATGGCTCAGTCCGATTTGGTCAGACTCTGAAGACGAGACTACACGTTTGGCGAACGGTATTCGGTTCATTTCTGGCTAATTCCAGGTTGTTTAGGTGTTGTTCTGTCACAGCTGCCGAATGAAAAGCATGCTCAGTGGTAATGACAGTTTGGGAATTTAGTGTAATCTCATCTTCAGAGTCTGACCAAATCGGCTGCAGGTCAAATATGATCTTAAAAGTATCCATTTTCTGTTTGTGCGCAAAGTAAGAAGTAAAAACGTTCAAATGGCTTAAGCGTCTTCTACAGCTGTCAAACTTTTTGCTTAGCAATGGCGTCTTAGCGGAGTGATACAGTGTTTGTGAAAAAAATTTGATGAAATAAGTGCACGGTTAGAACGCTTCTCAACCAATCAGCTTGCGTGGCCGGAACTAACTGTTGTATAATAACAATCGTCTAATGTTCATTATCGGTAAGCTGCATCTTTAGTCGACTCAATGTAATTCATGTTTTCTTTTCTCTCATTACAGGTACTTCAAGCACATTGTTTTTTATTCATCATTTTGAGTTCAGTGCATCACATATTCATTTTGTTTAATGCCAGAGCATAGCAGGATGGGGTGCACAGGGCTGTCTTACCACCCTAGCCTTATCATTAGCACTGCCAATGCTAGCTAATATATTTCTTTCAAGCCTTAAAAACCACAATAATTAGACACTTAGTTGTAAATTAAGTCACCGTAGCCTCAAATGGTTCCCAGGGCCATATTATGCTGTTCTGCACTGTAGTGGGCTTGCGAGACTGGTTTTCTAAAACCAAGAAATACTGAACAAAACTCCACAAAACAGTGGCTAACTGCTAACAGTCTAACACACACACACACACACACACACACACACACACACACATTATAAAACCAGGTTTGATTCCGGCTGTCACTGCAATACCAGGCTCTTTGAGTGTCAGTTACTGAAGCTGAGCCTGTACTGTGGTGGGTGGAACCTGAAATGCTAATTTTTTTTTCCTTTCTCTTACTTCTCCAGATGAATTTGTGCTCTCAAAAATGAATCTTTATTCTCTTAAGTTTTTTATGCATCAGTTTGCTGGAACTGAGCCTGTACTGAGGTGGGAGGCACCACTTGTTTACATGAGCTAGCCCAGAAGGCAAGATAACAGCTTAAGACACTACATAGCAGATTTGATTTGGCTTTCTGTCACTCTAGCACCATACAGTTGACTTTGCCTTCTCTGATATGTTTTTATCGATAGATACTTGATTGATACATGCTTGTTTGGGAGAATGCATTTTACTGAAAACAATCTTTGATTTTTGATGATAATTTCTATTATTCTAACACTCCCTATTTACAGCATAAGGAGGCACCGTGATTTGTGATAAATGTAATATGTATACGATAATATATGATATTTTAAATTTGCCTGCAACACTTTCCAAAAAAGCTGGGACAGGAGCACGTCGCTGTTGTTGGAAGAAAACCTCGTATCTCCATTTTTTGACGTTCACGTTGCCCTTTACATTGTGTGTAAATTTCATGATGAATGGACTAAAAGAAAATGACCTAAAATGACTTGGAAAAAAGTCTGGTTCCATTGACTTACATTAAAAGTAAAATATGCTTTTCCCTTCTGGAGTTTCCATTTTGGAGATACAAGGTTTTCTTCCGACAACAGTGATGTTTACTACTGTGTTACATCACCTTTCTTTTTAACAACACTTAAGATACTTTGTCTTGGGGACTGAAAACAACAACTGATCCCGTTTTGAAAGCAGAATTATTTTGTTAATTCTTTCAACTGCACATGGTCTTTGTTGACATATTTTGTGCATCAGTCCATTTCAGATGAGTTCGATCCCAGAGAAGTCAGCTGTGTTTCTGGATATTGTCTAGTCTTAACATTTGTGGATACAGCAACTAACAGTGTTTACTGACCACAGTTTGTCAAAGTATTCCCAAGCTCATGTTGTGATATCCATGACAGAAGCATGGTGTTTTTTTTTATGCAATGCCATCTGAGGGACTGAGGTCTACCCATCCTTATAAAGGACTAAGCTTTTCTTAGATGCTCCACTTAAATCCAAGCATGATTTTATCACAGATATTTTCACAATGTTCCTAGTCTTCAATTGCCTGGACTCAACTTTTTTGGAATGTACCGCATGAATCAATTTCAAAATTAAAGATTGTTTTTCAAAAAACAATGAAGTTGATGAGATAAAACATTAAATATCTTTTGTCCAAGTGGATTTACAAATCACTGCTCTGTTTTTATATGCATTTGACATACTGTGCCAACTTTCATGGAATTGAGGTTTGTATTTTATTTATTAGATTTTTATTTTGATCATTACAAACATGTGACTAACAAAATGCAACACTATTCCAGAGGCAAAAATGCACACTTTAAATTAAGTTATATAATCAGAATTCCTCTTAAAATAAATGAAATATTTGAATAAAATTGACATATTACATAAATGAACAGTGTGTTAAGAAGGAAGTGGAAGAACCTATGGTAAGGATGATGCATTTAACAGCATAACAACATGATAAGAATATAAAATACAGACAATCAAACTATGCTAAACTAAACAGACTAAATCCGGTCCACCAATGCCAGCACAGCATGTGCTCAGTATATATTCCCTGCCATATATTATACAATTCCTATTACTTAATTTAAAGTTACTTATTACTTAGTTTAAAGTTCATTATAGCCCCAAATGATTTTTTCAGCGCTGGTATGGATAACCTTACCTTTTATAGTTGGATTTTATTTAAAATTACTGGGGAAAAAGATGATGTGCACACCACTTGATTCCCCATGGCGTCACCTGCACTGAGTACAGATAGTCCTGCACAAATGGAGTTAGGATGCCATTCTAACAATAGTTAAGCAATGCCCTACTTAATCAAGGCTTAATCAAATTTCATTGGGATTACAACAGTAAGGGTGTAGGGGTCTAAAAATTTGCTGGTGCATCGTGCAGCACTGATTTAAAGTTAGAGATTTAGCTGCATCTTGAAATGTTATAATCAGCTATAACTGATTCTAAAGTATGTGCTCATTCTTTTTCTCAAATAAAATTCTGTGCATGTTTAATAGTGTGTGCTGACTAAGAAGTGGTGTGGTGTTATCAGTGTGTTTTTGTGTAACTGACACAAGTGTCAGCTGGTGGGCTTTTCCAAAGTTTTGGCACACCAACAGCGAATGCTTTAATTTAAAGCCGAGGCCATGGAACAAACAAAAGTTATTGATAAATGAACCTTAGACATCTTGAAGAAGCATTTAGACAGAGCATGTCCAATATTTATATATAGGTGCATGGCCACAAAATGCCTTAAAAGCAATCAAAGCCACCTTATATTGGATTGATGTGATCTCTTTTCTATTGTACCAGTTAAAAATCAAGCTGTGGCATTTTAAACTAGTTGTAAATGAGCCAGAGAAGTCTCATAATTACTTAATAAATCCCATGATACTTCTTCCAGTAATATTTATGAAAATATTCCCAAACTGTATTAAAATAATTAAATCAAATCATGGTGAAATTTGAGATATAATCTAATCAAGTCTGGTGAAAGATTTACAACCCTATTAGGCTACCCCCTTACCAAATCGAAACAATGTGCTATCAAATTAATGCTGTCTGCTAGGTAGCACTGTTATCTTGGGGGGGGGGTGACCAAAATAAATAAAGGATAAATAAAAAAAGTTATGTTAGCATTTCTTTTCTAATTCTATTGTATTCTAATGTATTGGGATGCAAAAACAGTAATAATTCATGATACTTATTGCATATGAAATATGCATACTGTTGCACCCCTACTGCTAGGATATGGAGACCGACATAAACACTTGAGCTCTACCACGACACTGTGTGATTAACGGCCTTAACAGCGTGTTTACACCAGAGAGTGTAGTACATCACAGTATGGTTGTGAATCCTAACAGTACCCAGGTCAAGTATCTGTGTGGTTTCCCAACACATCACGGGACCAATGAAAGTAAGAGATTTCAAACTATTTTGTGAGCGCATTTTAAATTACTGCATCATTTCTTACTTGACCCATATGTCCTTGAAATAACAATAATGGAAGATTGCAGATTTATAATTGCACTGCACTGCACTGTTGAGAAAGTCGCAGCGGCTGGCTTCACAGAACAGGTGGTCATATGATACAGGAGATACTGCTTAAAAAAAAAAAGAAAAAAAAAAATCTTATTTATGCAAATTTCCCCTTACCCTAAATATAGTCAGTTTGCCAAAATATGCTTCTTTTTCACTTAATACTATGGTATCAAAGCTGGAATCCTTTACTTGTTAGCTTAGCTACATTAGCTCCTGGGCAAAAGAAATTAATAAGCAAATTTCAAACACCACATGTCTTTGGTGTTCGACCACACTTGGGGTAAAGAAAAAAACTGTGTAAACTGCCTTCTACTGTGAGCTATTGCTTTAAAACTGTGAACTGGTTAAGTCTACTTTTTGGATATGTGGGTTTGGTCCACACTGGCAAAACCTGGCCATGTCCCCCTCATATCAGTTTGTTTTTATTTTCCTCACACCCTTTCTTATGTCTCACCTCTTCCCTGAGTTTCATCCTGTCAAGGAGGTCCATGATGGTAGTGAAATGGAGGCAACGGCTGGAGTGCTCCACTCTGTGTGTGGGAAGTGGCCGATTCTGCCAATGTCTCCATTCCCAGAGAGACAAATCTCTCACTAGGCTCTGTACACATACTTCCTATAAAAACAATGACACATACAACACAAAAATTTACATAAATGCATAAAGGATGCTTTACATACCAAAACATTATTTGATCATTTATCATTTTTGTAATGCTTAATAACAGAAGAGCTACAAGTCTGTACTTGAGACATACGGATGCAGATGCACATTTTTTTCCTTTAACCATCAATAAATTGCACTATGAAAGATACATTTGTTACATATTTTCAGTGATTTATTTAGTGATTTAGTAATTTTAGTAGCAGAAAATTCTGCTCCAAAGTCATTATATATTTATAGATAAATGCAAGCATACATGAGGTTGGGAGTCTGCACTGACGGACAGGAAAGATGACTGCCTGAGCACGGGCTGGGGTTCATTCTCTTGCAACTTCATAGTGGAAGTCCACAAAGCTTGTTCAGCAAGGTTGAGAAAACTGTCCTCTTTCACACACTCCTGCTCACCACCTTCTGTAGAAAGAGGACACAGTACAAATATTTATGCATTGTCTCAGTGCCTTTCTGAAACAAATGTAATACTAAAGTTAACTTACTAGATTGCAACATACAAGAAAAAAAAATCCAGTAACTACATGAGATGTCATGGGTACTTGAGCACTTGTTTAACTGGCTTGAAGTGCCAGTAATTATAAATCTCTATTCACAGGAAGACAGAAAAAATATACAGGTCAACTGTGAAATGGCATTTTCATGTTTTAACAGTACTGTAAATTGTGGAGAATATACACACACACACACACACACACACACATATGAGAGTATAAATATAGATAATTCCTTTTATTTAAGGTAAAGATTTACTCAAAATCATATCACCCATGTGAAAAAGTAATTACCCCCAAAAACCAAATATCTGGTTTTGCCACCCTTGGCAATAGTAAAAGCAATCAAACGTTTGTGATAACTTTCCAGGACTCGCTTATGTCACTGTGGAGGAATTTTGGCCCACTCTTCTTTGCAAATTTGTTTTAATTCGGCTACATTGGAGGGTTTTTGAGCATGAACTGTCCGTTTAACGTCTTGCCACATGTTCAAGTCAGGACTTCGACCTAGCCACTCCAAAACCTTCATTTTGTTGCAGTGTTAGCTTTACGCCACATGTAATGGGAGCCACGTCATCCAAAAAGTTCTACGTTTGATTCATCAGTCCACAGAATATTTTCCCAAAAGTGTGGTGGTCATCTAGAAGTTTTTTTGGCAAATACAAAACCAGTCTTTGTGTTCTTTTTGGTCTGCAGTGGTTTGCACCTTACAACTCTCCTATGGATGCCAGTGTCTTTCTCATTGTGGAATTGTGTAAACTGACCTTAACTGAGGTAAGTGAGGCCTTTGAGGCCTGCAGTTCTTTAGATGTTCGTCTGGGTTCTTTTGTGACCTCCTGGATGAGTCATTGATGCGCTCTTGGTGAAATTTTGGTAGGTCGGCCACCCCTAGGAAGGTTCACCACTGTACCTTGTTTTCTCTATTTGTGAATAATGGCTCTTGCTGTGGTTTGCTGGAGTCCCAAAGCCTTAGCAATGGCTTTGTGAACCTTTTTTGGACTAGCAGATTTCAATGACTTTGTTTCGCATCTGTATTTGAATCTCTTTAGAACATGGCATCATGTGCTACTTGTTGAGAACGTCCAGCCTGTCTCACATTGCCAGACAGGTTCTATTTAAGAGATATTTAGATACAACAGGTCTGGCAGTAATCGTGCCTGGAACACAAGCGGCTCAACATGAGCGCACTGCCAAAGACGTACTGCACATTGCCAAGAATGTACCTGAGAAGGCACTTGTAAGTGGCTTCAACACAAACAAGTCTAGTGAAAATGAACCCAATAGTCAACTGGTTGTGGTTAACTGGTTGATTTAGTAGCTAAGGGGGCAATTACTTTTTCACATAGGGCCAGGGAGGGCTGAACACTGAACAGGTACAATTTTCCTTCAATAAATAAAATGTGTCTATGCTGAAATAAATAAGATTTGTCTATGCTGAAACACAAGTGGCTCAACATGAGCACGTTGCCAAAGATGTATTACTAAGTGTAAGCATGTTACCAAGGATGTGTCTGAGAAGGCACTTGTTAGTGGCTTCATCACTAACAAGTCTCTACCAATATAGCATCACATAGCATCAAATTGGTCACCGTATTCAGTGTTCACTATCTCTGAGGAACTCTGTCCAACAAGGTTAATGTTAGCTAACTTCTGTTATCTGAAGTTGGCAAGCTAAATAGTTTGTTGATGTCCACTCGACCCATTTTATTTTGTTTGGCTTTAAGTTTTAAGTTAGATGTAGTTAACTTCCATCAAAACCAATCTCCTTTTAAGAATGTTCAACAGTTCAACAACAATTTAATAAAATATAAGCATGAGGAATGCACCACAATTAAATTTCTTACAATATGATAACTGAACATCAAAAGCTTATTGTGGTCCAAGCGCAGGGGGGCAATTTCTTAACAAAACAACAAACAAGTTAGCTTCCATCATTATTACACAGACAGCCCTGCCATCTATTAATCATAATGCATCTCATCCATGATGACCACTTTCAAATTGAGTCTAATGTAATGCTGGGAGAGCATCAACTTAATCGAGACATAACAGTGAGTAAACCAGCAAATTACACTGGCATTTGACTGAAAGTAATTATGGTTTATATATAAATCTCAATTACACACATATGCACACATAAGCACACACAGACACCAAACAAAAAAAGAAACAAAAGCCAAAAGCAAATTAAAAACTACCTCTATAAAAATATATGCCATAAATATGTGCTTACAGATTTACAAACAATGTCCACTGAGACTGTCTGGTGATACTGAGCCTCTTACCTTGGGCAGGAGGGTTGAGCAGTGATAATGTGTCCCTGGGGAGTGATTGCCTGCCCTTGATGGAGCCATGGTTAGTGTGTTTGGATTCAAAATTACCACAGGTAATGTGCATTTTGTGCAGGGTGGGGGTGACACCAATTGGTAGCATCCTGGGGCTGTGGGGGAACATTTGGAAGCTGTGCTTGTTCCCTGTGATGCATTTATTCACTTTACGCCGGTTACTTTGGCTTTGGTTATAGGTCTGTGAAGCAGATTCGGTGATTGTAAAGGCAAAAAAATGTTCACAAAAAGATTAAAAACTGTTTATTCACAAAAGATGCAAAAGCACTAAAGTTCTCCTAAACACCTAAAAAAACAAAACAATAGTCAAAATAGCAACATGCCCACTATGAACAGAGCAGGTGAGGAGAAAAAGGCCTGTATATTTCTATTATAAACTATACAGGATGAGTCAAAAGACAGGAACTGCTAAACTACATCTAAAATGCTAGACGTTAGATTGCTCTCATCACTGTTGTTATACGTTAGCCCATGGGTAACATAAAGCATAGATACAGGCACTGGTCTAACACATAATTGTAATTCAGTAAGTAAGCATGACTGTCACTATGGCAATACAAATTCAATAAATTCAATATAAAATGATGAGGATCAATATTGCGCCAAAATAAGTGCTACTCACTCGCTCTTCCCGCCCCTCGGCCAGTATGATCACTATACGTCCCTGCCTGCGGCGCCCAGTACGGCCCATGCGCTGGATGAGACGGATAGGACTCTTCTGTGCATCAAAGCAGACAATGAGGTCTACTTCACCAATGTCAAGACCCTCCTCACCCACACAGGTTGACACCAGTACATTAAAGCCACCATTTCGGAACCGATGCACCACCTATGGGTAGACGCGCACGCTAGTGTAAATAGAAATCAAATCAAATAGAAATTTGCTGTCGTACATGTTAAATCTTAGGACATGTTCATGTAGTACATGAATCTTAGATTGGATAACTAGATTAATTACATATGTAAATTCACAGTACAACCCATGTTATGAATTAGAATAATAATAAAAAAGGTAGAAAAATAATCAGTAACAATATTGTAGAGACATTTTAGTATGATTAAATCCTAATCATTTTAATTTATTTTAGTTTAATAAAACCTAATACAAGTATTCAACTCAATCTCTAATATCCCTTCCAGGTTTAAAAAAAAAAAAAAAACTCCACTATATCTTTACATAAAAATGAGTTGTTTGCTGTTATATTAATGTTTAAAATATTGTTTAAAGTGTAGTGATTTTCACCCACCTCTAAACCTTGTCTGTGTTCCAGTGGCAGGAAAAAATATACTAACTAGTAATGTCTTAGCCTGTTTTCTCTTTTTCTCCCACCACCCTGACCTATCATCGAGTGAGAACACCTGTCATCATGTCCACTCCCGGCTGCATGCACTCTTACTCTGTTTTTGGTTGTAAAATAATCATTTGAGTTATTTCAGCTGACAACCCATGGTCATGTTAGGCTAGCTTTCAACAAATAATGTTTCAGAAACTACTGAAAGTGTGGATGACAGTATGATTATTGTTATGATTTTTTTATACCCATTTAGTAATTCATTTTTGAAGTTATGTATGTGTTTCATGTTGTGTGCTTTTTCATGTCATGTTGTGCTAATTATATTCACAGCATAATTAGCATAACATGATTTGCCTAATGCTTTTAGTATCAATTTTGAACTGCATACGGGTAAATGCAATGCATATGGCTCTAATAATTACCTCAAGCTGCTCCTTCTGAGTGAACCCTCGGACCCCCTTCCCTGCCGATGCTTGCCCCATAAAGGTCATAACTCTGATAAGAGGCTGGTGGCGGTTAAGCATCTCCGCGATCTCCTGAACACTCTCACGGAACGAAGAGAAAATAATCACTCTTGTGTTAATTCCTCCTGAGATGTTCCCAGAGTCTGGACAACTGCCTAAGCCAAAACAAATAAATGTATAAAACCTATTATTTAATTTCACTTTTGAGTATATTCTGACAGGGCATGCCCACAAGGGATTTATCATTAGAGATAGTGTCAAATGGGTTCTGGAATACTCTGACAAGTCTCTGCATCCACAAAAGCAAGTTAAGACCATGGTGTTCACATTAGAAATGGACTGGTGCACAGTAGAAATGTGTATTGTGGTCTGACAAGTCAACCTTTCAGACTGTCTGTGAAAATGAATAGACACTGTGAAGAAAAGGACCCTCCAGATTGCTACCAGCATAAAGTTTAAAAGCAAGGGGCTGTCATGGTATAGGAGTGTATTAATACCCAAGACATGAGCATCTCTGAAGACACGGTTAACAGTGAAAGACATATAGACATTTACGAGCAAAATATAATGCCTTCTAGACAAGGTCTTTTTCAGGAATGTCCATACTTATTTCATTATTAAGGACAATGCAAAGCCACATTCTGTATGTCTTACAGCAGCATGGCTGCTTTATCAAGACTTGTGTAATAGAAGAATGGCTAAAATTCTGCTTATAAAACATTATCAACTGGTGTCTTCGGTCCCCAAACGATTATCAAGTGTGACTAAAATGCAGGCATCCAATTTAGAATGAGCATAGAATATACAAAACATTAAATAAATAAAGTTACAGTAAAACATCAAATATGTTTTTTTACTGTGTACTATGGGAATTCACTACACGCTGCTTTTTGTCTTTCATAGTATTTTACATACTGTCCCTTTTTTAAAACTTTTGTGAAAGTTAAAATAAAGATAAATATAGTGTTTTTGGTTAAGTGTTTTGAGTGTCAAAGGTGATGTATTACAAGGAACAACATTAGATTAGAAATCAGCTGTGCTAGTATGCATATAAAGTGCAATGTTCACAAAGAAATATACAACAATAGAAGAAAAGTATTAAAAATTTGACATAAAATGATGTTATTTATGAGCATGAGAAATGGAAAGATCATAACACAATGACAAGTGGTACAGTTCACCTGAGTTCTCAGACCATGTACTGAAGTGCTGTTGTACAACCTCATCCAATTTCTGAAGTTTTGGGTGACTGTAAAAATACTGCTCATTAGGCCCTACAAACGGAAAACAAGTCTGATCAGTCCCTTGCAATAACTAACAATGGTGTTAAAAGAAAAGTTCACATAAAACAATGACAGTGGAAGCAGGTACCTTTGGTCAGTGCGAGAAACATGTCCTCCATATCTCTGTAAAGTGCCATGAAGACAGGGCTGTGCTGCAGTTCATTTCTGGCTCGAGAGGACTCTGAAAATACATAAAAAAATATCAGTCACTACTGTATATTGCCTATGAATTTTCAAAACTAGAAATCAAAACAAACACTTAAAATAAATTAATTTAACACTCAGGTGGCCACGAACCACATACTTTTACAGGAATAGGGCATCTGATAGTAGTGGCTATCTCAGCATGCAACATATCTATCAGAGGATTTCCATTCCTCTGTGGGCAGCACATCTGAGGCTCAGACTAGACTCCAGGCACAGAGTCATGAAAATCCCAAAATATTTTTTTTAAATGGTCAAATGTAGCCAGTACCTTTGGAGCCCAATATGATGTTCTGTGTGAACAGAAAAAGAGATCTAAGGCCCATCTGCTGCAGAAGTTCATAGCCATGGTAGAGGCTAATACACATAGCAAAATCTCCCTCCAGCACACCATGTTGTGCACCCTGTTCATCCAAGAGACAAACATAATTTCAATGCAGGCTTATTTATCACCACCAGTCATTTTTTTCAGACTCATGCAAATAGTCTCCTAGTTTTCAACATTTCAACTTGACTATAACAATTTCTCAGGAAAAACACTGATTAGCCAATTTGAGCTCTGGCATGTAGCATGCTGTACCATGATGTGAGGTGGTGGGTTGCATCTGAACTGCTCCCGCGCCAGAATGAGCTGGTACTTGGTGAGAGCGTGAAGGTCATAATGATTAAGCACCCTCATCTGGGTCAGACGAGATGTGAACTTCTCTAGAACCTGCAAAGATGCAAAGAAAAAAGTAGAGACAACATCTGTGGCACACAATGGTCTTGCATGTCGGTCTTTTAATCCTCAAAGCAGGTAAGTCTGGATACTTCAAGTCATTTTAATCGTCATTTTCTTATTCATTTAGGTATTTATTTTCCTTTTCACTACTTAGTCATGGATTTTTAAACTGCAGTTACTAAATGTTTCGAAAAATAAAATCTATGCCTATAAACAAAAGATAAAAGGCATCGTTAAAATACTTTTTATGTTTTGCTGATACTTTACAGTAAAAATAAAATGACATTCCAGTCGTGACAAGTTTTAGGACCAGCCACAATGTTTAACTGTCTAAGAGTACACATATTACCAAGATAAAGAAATAATTTTGTCAAAATCCTCAAATAAATAATCTAGCAAAATGTGCAAATGAGAGTTTCAAGAAAAACAATTGCATTGTTACAGATGAAACAGCTGCATTGTTACAGATGAAAGTTCAAAAAAGCTGTGGACATTACGTTAAGCCTGAATGCTGGATGCAGTAAACACAGAATGCAGGCTGAATGACAGCTGCTTATTTTTTGTGACCTTCAGCAAGGCGTGCATTTACACCCTTTTCTGAGAAAAACTGATCTCAGGACAAGTTTATTTACAAGTTAATTTTAAAATCACAGTGACCCGGGTAATCAAGGCCAATATGCCAAGAACATTACTCAGAGGAAAAGTTCAGAGTAAAACAGTCCTCATTCACACAATTGGCTTATGGTCAGAAAATGAACAGAAATAAGACTTACAGAATGATCTTGCACATAGAACATAACTATCTCAACACATACAAAAGCATAAATACCTATGTACCTGTATCAAACACATACACAAAGCAAATTTTAAAAACCGTATGATCTATTTTTGTCCTTACGGTTGGCTTTTGGTACAAATCTACCTCAAACACCTACTGATAAAACACTCCCACTCGTCGCTGTCAAATCCACATCAAATCTGCCTGACCTCAAAGGCATGTGTCTTTTTTGCAACACTCTGCAAAATGGTTTCCCAGGTAACAAATGTTAAGAGCCATGGTCTTTGCCTCCCCTTGATTCTACTGTGAAACTGTGCTAAACTGATGATGATCTTCCGACCAGCCTGATTACAATACCTGTATGAAATTTCAGTTTTGTTTAAAAGAGATGAATGAGGCATGAAAAAGTGCTGTGCAAGGAGAAAAAGACATTTTACATTTTTTTTGTTTTGTTTTTTTAAACAAATCATTATACAAGCAGATTAAACACTCCCCTCCGCACCACTTTGACTAGAGACTCATAGAAATCACTGAGGAGAAGGTTTAATTCTGTCTAGTGTGACTCAACAACACACTCTTTTGGACTGTAGTATGTCCACCCACTCATAACTCATTTATATGAGAAGGGAAAGAAAATAAAAGAAGAGAAAAATAAGAGTGTTTCTGATAACCATAATCCCATGTAACATTTCGGGATATGGAGGGCTAACGAGGGATTCACAAAAGCATTTCTGCAGTATACTAAGCACTGAGCCATGATGTTTCATATTCCAGTCTCGACTGCAAAATTTTACTACTTGTCAGTCTAAACACCAAGCATAATTTTGGGCCCAACCTTCACTGTTAGCTTGTAAGCTCTCTCGTTAATCTAGCTAGCTAGCTAACATTAGAGGAAATCTAGGATGTCATTCTTTATCCAATTGTTCTTGGAGGTGTTGTATCCATATAACTACTTTTCTATTATTAAGGGATTAGTTGGAGGACAGTGGTTTCCTTCCTAAAGCAGCAAGCCATTCATTTCTGCTTTCCATGCTGAAATATTAAACCACATCAAATGGCATAGTTGACACAACAGCGCACAAAATAGCACTTCCAACACTTGAAAGTCATTCTGAAGTCCTAATTATGGAGGCATCTAGTTCTATAGAAATTGATCCATTAAGTGCTGTTGCCTGCACACAATCTTGTCTAGTCTTGTAGAAGGGGGATGGGTGAGGCCTATTAGAGCTTCAGTTAGCCACTACGTAACTTTATGATTACACTGAAAACAAAAAGGTCACCAAAGATCAGGTGACATGGTCAGTCTGAATTGCTTTTTTCTTCAACCAAATCGCTTGACCTAGAAAAACAAAATATTATTACAGTCCCTTAAAAGGTTGGAGAGTTCAGGGAAACACGAAAACAGTTTCAGAGGTCACTAGGGTAGTGACTATTGAGGCTAAGCCTTATCCTAGATTCAGCAATGAAAGCCTTTGTATAAAATTTCAGACAAAGATTATGTTTCAGATATTCACCTCATAGCTTGTATGCTGACAAACAATTGCAATTTCTAAAAAGCTGCAAATATAATAACACAGCAAGTAACAAAGCTCCTTCATGAATGAGATTAATTAAATGACCTGAAACACATCACACAGAAGCCTGAGGTGATTTTCCAAGTATGCCTCCACTGCTCTCATTCTCACACATGCAGAAACAGACTGACAGAAAGTATAAGTTTAGGTTTTTTGTTTTTCCCATTTAGAATCATAAAAACCATAACCCATTGGTAACTCACAGATTTATTTGCATTTCAGAAAGGTTCTGGGTGAACCAGAAGATGTGCAGCCACCTACACACTCACAGCTCACACAAAAGGCTGAGAGGGACTGAATCAATAGACTGATAAGGTGATGTGAAGGCCAAGCCATGAGCTCCTGTCCGCACAGCATCTATTAACAACACTCCAGCCACATCAGTGGTTCACATCTGTGATGAACAGCATGGAGGCTTATTTTACCAAGCAAACAATGCGAACAAACAATTAGCAAATAGTTTATTTTATACATAAACCTGAAACCAAACTAGTTTTATATTATTGGAAACTTCCACACCTTTGAACAGTAGTGTGGAATTTACAAATACAAGCAATGAATTTAATTATATTAATGCCTTTTTCTAGCACAGTCATCAACAAGCTTCAACAATGGGCCGTGCGTTCAAAACACTTCCACTAATTAAATGGAATGGCTTTGACTGGAACTCCATGCATGTTAAGACAAGACAGTCACCTGAAAAATTGAGGCTAGCAACAGGAGAGCACTTTTCCTGATGATGCATAACTAAAAAAGCCTAAACTGAAAAGTCGCAGCTACATTAACTTTCTTTGAGGAGCAACCCATACCTGGCAGTGTCTGCATTACAGATGATGTTTTCCCTATTTGTTTTAACGTCAACAAATGACATACAGCAAATGAAAGTTTTTTTTTTTCTGCAACAGCATAACTTTTCACCTAACTCACCTAATTCTATAATTAAAAAAATATGGAATCAACAAAAAGTTTAGAATATAAACATTTTTCAATAAACTACAACTGAGAAAAAAAAAAAAAAATCAATGAAATTATTACATTCTTCTGTTCCCACTGTCAATAACTGGGACTTTACAGTGAATTTGCTAGGGATTTAGAGTGTGTGTGTGTGTGTGTGTGCGCTCCTGTAAGGTTTTGTGAAACACAGCCTCATGCTAGGCTGTGTGTGTCAGAGGGAGTAGTCTGTCGGGCCACATGGAGAACAGGCTTACATAACAGTCCCCGCTACGTGTCCAACAGGGATCACAGTATGGTGGCAGGCTGCTCAAAGCTTACTTTTATCCATCTAATATCCATTTATTATCTCTTATACACTTACTCACTCGTATGCATTTGTCTTTTTGATCTGTATCTTTCCTCTCTTTGCCTACATCCATTTGAATTCTCTTTTATCATCTCTCATTTTATGATAAGATTCAAAGCAAAATGTAGATCATACTCAGTGTGATCTACAGTTGTCATGGTTACAATCAATTCAAATTCAAACACAATATGCATAATACTGTTCTTGTCTTTTGCGTCTCTGATGTTATAAAATCAGAAATCTGATAATTGCTCCTGCTGCTGCTGTTAACCAATAGTTCTACTTTAACATGCATTACAACGGTAAGCAACAGGAAAGCCTAGTTTCTTTATATATCTGTCTTGAGTTATAAGCTTTGCTATGTGAATCATTCACATCTGAAACATTCTTAATAAGAATGCCCAAATTTTAATCAGGAGCTATAGATCAATAAACTAACAATATATAGATTGATCGATCAATCAATAAATAAAGAAATAAAGAACCAATCAAACTACCAAGGTTAATCATGCTGACTAGTGGTAGATTTTAGGACAAAAATATTTTAATTATTCTTAGCCACTTAAACTATATTTTAAGCTAAAACTGCTTACAGTTTATCTACTGTCCTGGATCATTTGTGTGCCTCAAATAATTCCAACCCCTAGTATTTACATCTAGTAGAGGGCTGTGTGTTCAACAAAAATGTAAAGTTTGTGAAAACTGATCAGACTGGTTGATACTTCGCATTTCTCCTAAAACTGCATAACTGACTACGACCGCACAGTTCAAAACCTTCCTGACAAGAGGCTTTGAGACCCTAGCATATGCCATATTTGCTTTTAACCCAGTTATCTTTCCGCATTGTTCTTTTCAAACAAGCACCCAAATCTAGTATTATTTTAAAGTGAATTAACCCCAAACCGTCCCACTAGGCGCACGCACTGCACTTTTTTTCTGAAAGCGAGCTTACGAACAAAGCTGTCAGCTTCTCCACTGGCAGTGGGAGAGGCGGAGCTTTCGTCTGTCACGTCATCTCGCCGCTGTGCTCCTATAAACATTGAAGTTCCACGTGAAACGGCACGTACGAAGAGCTGTGCACGTTCCTGTGCACGAGATAGGAAGCTACCAACGACAGCTAAAACAGACCCGTCAAGACTGACATTGCGTATTTTGTGCGTCTTCTCGTTTCTCTGTGTCGGAAAAATGGTTCTTGGTATTGACATGGCCGAGCGGTGAGCACCAAACGCCATGTCGTCAGAGTAAACCTGAAGTTCCTGTTTTAGCCTGTGGAGCTATAAGCAGATGCACCGCGCGTCGACCGTCGAAACGTTCAGTACTTCATAAACAAGTCGCCGGTATAACTTAATAGTTTTTAGTTTCATTAATTTTGACTTAACCAAGCAGTCTTGGTATTATCCACATGGATCGCGGGGGGTGTCGTTTAAATGGGGTCGGTGGAGATGAGGGCCAAGCCGGAGAAAGCCAGGGGTCTGGAGGGTCTAACTACGGAATGATCACGCTGGAGGACCTGGAGTCCTTCTCCGAGGACCAGCTCTCAGACTCCGGCAACGGCAGTTTGGAAGAGGGAGAGATGATGGAAGACGAACAGCAAAACCGACTCCTCCACTATTGGCAGGACGTCGGGAGAGGACATCGAGTGGAAGTGCCGGGAGGTAAAACAGTGTTATATAGCTAGCAAACATTTTTTTTTTTTTTACATCTAGCAAGCATTTGCAGACATTAACGAAGGTTAACAAAATATGGCACCTGCTATAGAGTTTGTATTTTATTTTCATGAGCGACGTAGTTAACAGCATATTACATTAAAAACTCTGAAAAAACGTCTCACATTGTTTACTTTTGCTGTAAGACCAGGCCAAATTCTTATTTTGTAATCAGCTTATTTTAAAATAATAATTTCTGGTGCAGCAGGTTTTCTCTGCTCTTATACTCGCACATTATACAGCCGTATTGTTGGTGCCACGTGACAATCAAATGTGGGGCGGCAGATTACTCGGAGGGTGTGGGGGAGGCCGTAAACATTGCCTTGGATGTGTGGGAGGTGTGCGTAGCCTGGGGTGCAGTGGAACAGAAATTTGCCAAAGCCACATATACCTTATCTTATTCCTCATTATACTGTCAAAAAGTGTGTGTTTATAAACTTATCATAAATTCAGAGGCACTGCTGAGACTGTATTTTATTTGAGGTAGCTTAAGAAGAGCTGGAAGAGCTGTAAATGGTCTGTCTGGTCGAGCAGTCAGTAGTAGGGAGCTTTTAGTGATGTACAAGTTGTGGTTTGGTCTGTATGATGTCCAGTCAACTGACACTAATGTATCTGCCCAGGGTATAACTGAAATTACAGATTATGTTTTTAAGGTCCCACATACTGTCATTCAAATCAATCCAGAACTTTACTTAAAGCAGATTAAAGCAGATTTTTGTGAAAGAAAAAAAAGGCAAGTTGTAACAACAGTTGTAACAACGTTATCAATGCAGCTTATTATTGATATCAGCTTTAAGGGTGATTTGGCAAAAAATTGGTAAGTAATGAAGAGCACCATTACTGATACTGCTAGTAGCAGCGCACATCAGTACTATCAGACTCTATTGTCAGAGATCCTTTATATTTTTACATATACATTTATATTTTTATATATTTTACAGAAATAAACATTTTATATAAAATAAAAATCAATAAAAGGTAAATAAATAAAGCAAAAATGATTTGCCTTTCACACCACGCTGTAGTCTAGTTTGGTTGAACATGGGAGTCCGGCATCTTTTCAGACTCCAACAGGCCTGCAATCTGAAACCAGATTTACACTAGGGCTGCACTTAACAATTATTTTTATTATCAATTATTATTGATAATTATTTATTATCAATTAATCTAATGATTTTTCTTTTTCGATAAGTCGACTAATCCAACAACTAATCTGTCAATTATTTGTCAGATGTCTGATCAGAAAAATACTGGACCTCAAATTTAAAAGGATTCCTGTGACAGATTAATTTAATCAATGTATGTCATAAGAATGCTTTCTCTGAACTGAATCAGTATTTTTATTTAAGTAAGTGTAAAATGGTTATGAGAATGTTTTTAAAAATGTATTTCATCACTAAAGCAATGTGGCACTGTTCAGTTACTCAGCGCATCATAGTGGGCTTCTCAGCAATAGTCATTACTACATTAAATTAAAGCCATATTGAGGCCACAGAAAGCCAGTCAGTCTTAGAGGTAAACAGTCAAATGCTAATGGTAAATTAGCTCAGCTTATGTTATGAGTTTTTTTATCTGCAGCTTGTTCTCTATGCTTTGACCTAGACGCAGCCATCGCACTTTATAGTGACGCACCGATGCACGTTATGCAAATTGCCATATTTCCATAATCGATTATGTCGATTAGTTGTCTCAGCCCTAATTTACACTTACCCTAAAACCCTGCTTCAGCTACTAGGGTGAAGGCATGTTGTGCTGACCTACTTCTAGGGCCTGTGGAATGTACTCTAGAGGTATAACCCATCACAGTGTGGCAAAGGAACACCAGAATACCCTCCCCAGCTGTTCACATAAGTTTTAAGATCATGAGAGGAGAGTCTCTTGGATCAAGGTAGATAATCTAGTTTTATACTAGTTCTATTTTTTGAGCAGTCAGAAAGCAAACAGCTTTCAGATTTTAAATCTAGAAAATAAGACAGTTCAAGACCATCTCATTAAACGCCTGCTGTTTAATGTAAAATGGCATTAAGTTGAAATCAGAGCTCTCATTACTCAATGCACAGAAGTTGCTGCGGTTTAAATGCAAACCTGTTTTTTTTTGTTTTTTTTTTGCCTGTGTGGAGGAAGCTTATTTTGCTATTTATCAGGTTTTGCCTGTTAATTAAGCTATAACTTGAAACTTGACACCAAAACTAAGTACAAGGTAGTGACTGTCATACAGTGTCCTCACTCCTCCTAATAAATGAATAATTTTCTGGGTCTGTTTGACCTGTCAGGTTCTGAGCACAAAAGGGCTTTAGAAAGCTTTTGCAGAATTAACATTTCTGAAGGAAAAACAAAAGAAAAATGTGAAGCACAGGACCTGTTACTCAATATCATTATTCCTTTTGAGCTATAACAGTAAAACTTATATTATAATATAATGTAATAATAATATTTTAAGCCTTTAGATATTCAAATCTAGTGCCATAGATGGCAATTAATAAAGGTTTTACAGTTAGATCAGCACATTTGTCAAGGCCTGGTACTAATGCATAGGCTTAGAGACAGAACGCTTTGTGGCTCACAGGGATTAGCTGGCAATCCTGCTTGAACCGGAGGAGCTTCGAGTCCCGTACTGAAAAATTGTGGGTGACAGTCAATACACCTCTTCTCTCTTGCAGTGTGTCTACAAGCAACATCAAGAGTATTTGTGTCTATGTTCTAGAGTTATGAGAACTCTGTGTGTTCCTGTTTGTTAATTAATAGGTGGTAGCGATTAAGTGTACCTGAATAACCCACAAGTCATTCCACTACTAACATTATCACAGTGAAACATTAGTTCTTTAGTGGAGTATAAATTAATTTTTTTTTTTTGTAAAAAAAAAAACAAAACGTAACATTCTGGTTCACCTGTACAGTTGTCAGCAAAGAACACTAATTATCTGTACAAGAAATTATAAAATTTATATAATTAAACAATAAGAAATCAGCATCCACAGCATTGTACATCACAGTGAACACATCAGCATCCAATCCACATTGTGCTACAGTAAAACTGAAATTAATGTTTCGCTGAAAGATGTGCTAGTAGTCACAGTAACACATGAACCTTAATTTTGACAGGCAGTTCAGTTCTGAAGGTACTCCACATTGTTACAGTATGTGTACTTGCTCCTCGTCAGCCAACTTCTTGCATGGGGACTATGGTTTTGCACGTTTGTATACATTCTACTAATTTATTCTGCAGTTCCTTTATGCTTTTTAATGTACCTTAAGTGAAATACTATGAGGTTTCAAAAAGAAAAAAAAACAAAACAAAAAAAAAATTATAAACAATTATTGTCATATTGATTAGCATATGCTAATACACTAATCAAGAGAATCCCACCTGTGGCATGTGAATTGGCTGTTTAGAGGAGTCATCGATGAGCACTGCAGAAAAGCAGCAGAATTTTATTGTATTTATATATTTATTTTTACCCTGTTCTTTTTATCCATTGTCTTAAAACATGAATACAACCTTTGTGGTCAACTGATCGGTGAAAGTCAGTGTTGGTGAAATTTGCCTGTCAGACTGATGATTTCTTAAATGAGGTGAAAGTATTACAAACATGAATGGCTTTCCCAGTTTCTGAAATACTTTATACCCAGGATGGGGAGCTCTGGTCCCGAGGGCCAGATTCCTGCACAGTTTGGTGATTTTCCTGCTTCACCTGATTCAACTCATCAAACTAAACACCAGGTTGAGTTGGTGTGCAAGACCAGGGAAATCACCAAACTGTTTTGGACCCTGGCTCTTAGTTCCCCATCCCTCTTAATGCTTAGTTAATGATCACCTTTGGGTTCCTTGAAAAGGTGTGGGTTTGTACTGCTGGCACTGAGGCCTACTGTTATAAGGTGATTAATTTATCGCTCCAGTCCCCACATGCAAAGCAGTGTTTATTTGCCTTTCCCACTACACTAACCCTAAAACTACAGGAGGCTGACTGAGCTTGGTTTCTTTTTCTGTGTTGACGCAGCACAGCTTGCAGTGAAGCAAACTTTTGATAATGAAAACCTGTGAGAAAGCAGCAAAGGCACTAAAAGCGAGTTTATAAAAAACAGCAGTTCTTAACCATGAGACTTGGCAAGTTTGTTATTTATCAGGTTAGTTAGGCTTCTTCTGACATGTGAAATGAACCAGGAGGCTAATTTTCTTGTCATGCCCTGTAAACATAGTAGCATTCAAGGCCAGTGGCATGCAGCTTTGATAAAAATCCACGCCTTTGTATTCACGCATAAAAAATACACATAATAAAGTGGTAGGAGACTCTGGTCAAAATAGGTCTTCACATAGGTGCTCCTAAATAAAAATTATTTTTGCATTTTAAAAAACAAAGGATTAAAAGCAAGCTTTTCATTTGTTCCTTCTTGCACCTTCTCAAAACTGTTATAAAACAATGTCTCTGGAATCAGACAACATGTGGATAAAATCATACAAAGTTACATTGAAAAACTGCAAAAAACTCAGATTACCAGTGACAGGCACTACTCTGGACACAGTTAAACATGTGGAAGTTCTCATTTTTAAACTCTAAATGCCCAGTAAGAAAGGAGTATGAAGACTGCTGTGCAGCAAAAAAATGAAAGGCTTTTCATGGTTAATATGTATTAAAGAGATATGGTTTGTGTTATTAGTAGTCAGTGTTCTAATGTGACACTAAGTACATACATACCTTGAAGACACTTGTCCCATTTGTGTATGTTGTCTTGTGTGGAGCTGCATTACCAAAAATCAGTGCAGACTAAGTTACAGAGATGTGAACTGTGAGGGAAAGTTTTAACTCCTGAAATGAGAAAAACTCAGTTCTCCTTTTGCTTTTTCAAAAAGAAAAGCATCCTGCACACTAACAGTCTGCCCATTCTAGAAGAGCAAATGAGATCTTATTTGCAATTAAAGAATGAGTTGCAGATATGAGCTGTGTGCAAAAGAGTTCATGAAGTTTTAGCTCCTGAAATGAGGTGGAGAAACTTTGTTCTCCATCCTTTTTTTCAAAGTGGAAAGCATTCTGCACAATTTCACAGTTTGCCCGTTTTGTGAGAAGTGAAGGACCTTCTCATAGATATTCTTCTCATCTTTTTTCTCAGCATGAATGATCTGATGAATTCCAAAAAGATGAATCTTGTCATGTCCAGTGTGTATAGTTTGATGTAAAATCATGTTTGAATATTTCAAATTTTTGTCGTTTTTTGCATCAGGTTAGGTGTTTAACAGCCTTAACATGCCATGTTCAGATGTTTCTGATTAATCTAGTCGATCATTAAGTTCTTCAAACGATAATACAACATGTTTGTGTTCATAATTACAGTTTGAAATCCTATAGTTGCAAGTTTTTTTTTTTAACTGCATTATGTCATGTAATCTTGGTGAGGACTCAGCAGCTTATATCAGTAAGATAATGTAAAAATTAAAAGGAAAGTTAAAAAAAAAAGTCAAATAGCTCAAGCTCAGTTATTTCACTTATTAGGTTTTTGTAAGACTAATGATGTGTTTCAGTTAAAGAGTTTCTTCTTTCTTCTATGTTCTATGTGTTATATTGGTACTCAGGGGAGGGTAGGAAGTCTATATTTAACTGTGTAAAGCGCCACCCGCTGCATGTCTCAGGCAACTTGTGCATGCGTGTTTCAAAAGGGATGCAGTGCTTGCAGTTCTGAAGTAAACAGCTATTAGCATTTCAATTACATTTGTTTTGCACCATAGTGAATGGTGCTGTTGTATTTTGTAATTTTCTATTTTTTTTTGCTATTCACTCACACACACACACACACACACAGAGACAAACATACAAAGATACACACATGGGATGTGCACAGGTACTCGAGTACTTGGTTAACCATTTGGGGTGCCATTGTTCAAAAACTACAATCACTATTCAGATACCCAGTTTCAACACAGGAAAAGGGAGATTAACAATTCAATAAAACGCCACTTTTATGTTTTAACAGGACTGAAAAGTGTTAGTTTTGCTCATATTTGTGAGAATGTATGCATGTATATTATTAACACTTACAAAACAAGGCAGTCTAAACATGAGGAGCATGTTGCCAAGGACGCATTGTTAAGGACATGATTGAGAAGATGCAGATAGCTCAGCTTTAACGCAAACTAGGCTAGCTACTCTAGCTGATGTTAACTAGGTCCAGGTGACTGCTGTGCTACTATGTTTTTAGCCTCTTAACACTAGTGCCATCACATTAAAAAGTAAAAATCCCTATGTTAATTTCAGCTAAGGTACTTTTTTTAACCGGATATTTGTTCACACTCAAATATCAAAATTAGTCAGAATACCCATCCCTTAACACACACATACACACTTTGCAGCTGAGCCATTATTGTTCCTGAACATTTCCACTTCACAATGAGAGCACTATTTTTTTATTAATAGAATATACAGAATAACTGTCACAAGCCTTATCCCAACCCAAATGTTCTTTTTAACCAGGGGTTTCACAGAGCAAGTAAAGCACTCCAATTTTAAACAAATGAATTAACTTTTGGTCAGTGTGTTTTCTGAAACACTGAGCTCAATAATACAAATTCGCCTTAAATGTAATGTTCAAACACAGTTTTAATCTATATGCAATTAAATTAGGGTGTTAGAAAAAAGTTGAAAATGGGGTACCAGCGTTTTGTGTGTGGTGGAGAGATCACTTAAAGTCTACGTGAACTCAGAACGCATTTTTTTCCTTGATGTGATGTATTTTCGAGTGAAACAGGCTTCTTGGGCAGGAAATAATTGTGGGTGGGACATGATTTTATTCTTCTTGATTTGTCTGGATAGTGAAAAGCCATTCCGTAACAAAGGCTCTGAGGGTTAGCATGAACTGTCTTTTTTACAAAAAAAACAAAAAAACAAAATAACCAGATTGTCAAAAATTGTATTACTATCATATTTTGATAATGTTTTCTGTAGTTTTTGAAACATGATCCATTAATTGTCGTAGCTTTAATGTACCTTGTTTACTTTTTTATGATGTAGACAAGGTGAAACACCAGTTAGAAGGGTAGGCAGTTAGCATCCGTGTTGCTCTTGCTTTTCCAACAATTTCACTGCAAAAGCAAAGGAAGAAGACCTCAAGAAAAAAAACAAAGTCAGGTTAAACCAGGGGTGCCCAATCCTGGTCCTGGAGATCCATCACCCACATGCACAGCTTAGTTCCACCTCTAATCAAACACACCTGATCCAAATAATGAAAGCCTTCAGGAGCATTTAAATATGAGAGCCAGGTATGTTGGAACTGAACTCTCCAGGGTGCTAGATCTCCAGGACTAGGATTGAGCACCCATGGGTTAAATAAATCCATGTATGAGTGTAATTACCTAAAGTTTGAGCATGAGATGGACTGTGTGTGTGCGTGCGCATGTCACTTCTTCATCAGCTGACCCCCTTAGCTTCTCAGCTCCCAAGAAAACTTTATAGAAAATACTGCCAGATATCTGAACTACCTCAGTCCCATGAACAAAGTCTTCCAGCTTAAACAAGCTGAGATAACTCATAAGTGATCATATTACAACCGGCCCAATAAAATGAAAGTGAGAAAGTGAAGAGAAGAAAGGAGGTTATGTGCTGATATACATGTTTGGGTAGTCGGAGCAGAGGTGATCCACAGGTGTTTGGTCAGGGAGATGTGGGAAGAGGGGAAAGCAGCCAAGATCAAGGCAAGCACTGATGCAAACGTCAGATGGTGTTCAGAGGCAGGCAGAGATTACTACACTTCCAAACAAAAAAAGGGGGGGGTGGGATAATGCACCACGATAGATCGTGCTTAATGTGACCAAGAACATGAAATAACAAAGTTAAAGGTCCATTTTGATTTCAGGTTGACACATGGCCTAACATTTGCTCATGTTGCCTTCACAGACATGGCAGAACCCATTCAGCAGATAACAACCAATAATAATGGCACACACCCCAGAGAGACAGTTCCCTACACATTAATGTCCCGCGAGGAGAAGGTATGTACACACATCTGAATTACGGTACAATGAGCATCTGCAAATTTCACTTTAATTATTTAGTTTCATCTTTGGCATATCTGTACAATCTGTATACATTTACACGCACCTTGATAAGATGTGAATAACAGGAAGGAAAAAAAAACAAACACATAACTGGTCACAGACAGACAATTTATGGTTCTACTGTTAGCTTTTTTCTGGTGCACAGGAGCACACAGAAGAAGTGCAAACAATTTTTTAAAATTCAGTTCCACTAGAAAAGCAAACATTTTATTTAGCAATCAGCATTTTCTTTCAGTAAGCCCAGTATGGTTTAAATGCATAACATTTAGGACTGTAATCTTGAGTAACTTTTAAAACTGCTCTACGGCAACAACTGCAGTTGGACTAATAGCTGACCTTTTTATGATTATTTATATGATTATAAAATCACAGTTCTCATTTGTGATCATTTAAATTACAGTAATTACCCTGTTTGCATTCATGAGCATATCAGTGTGCACCTGCACTTCTGGGAGAACAACACAATATATCTTACAAATGGTAACTTACACTATATTGCCAAAGGTATTCACTCACCCATCCAAATCATTGAATTCAGGTGTTCCAATCACTTCCATGGCCACAGGTGTATAAAACTAAGCACCTACGCATGCAGACTGCTTCTACAAACATTTGTGAAGGAATGGGTCGCTCTCAGGAGCTCAGTGAATTCCAGCATGGTACCGTGATAGGATGCCACCTGTGCAACAAGTCCAGTCTTGAAATTTCCTCGCCACTAAATGTTCCACAGTCAACTGTCAGTGGTGTTATAACAAAGTAGAAGCGATTGGGAACGACAGCAACTCAGCCACAAAGTGGTAGGCCACGTTAAATGACAGAGCGGGGTTAGCGGATGCTGAGGCACATAGTGCACAGAGGTCGGCAACTTTCTGTAGAGTCAATCACTACAGACCTCCAAACTTCATGTGGCCTTCAGATTAGCTCAAGAACAGTGCGTAGAGAGCTTCGTGGAAAGGGTTTTCCATGGCCGAGCAGCTGCATCCAAGCCTTACATCGCCAAGCGCAATGCAAAGTTGAATGCAGTGGTGTAAAGCACGGCACCACTGGACTCTAGAGCAGTGGAGACGTGTTCTCTGGAGTGACGAATCACGCTCCTCCATCTGGCAATTCGATGGACGAGTCTGGGTTTGGTGGTTGCCATGAGAACGGTACTTGTCTGACTGCATTGTGCCAAGTGTAAAGTTTGGTGGAGGGGGGATTATGGTGTGGAGTTGGGCTTGGCCCCTTAGTTCCAGTGAGAGGAACTCTTAATGCTTCAGCATACCAAGAGATTTTGGACAATTTCATGCTCCCAACTTTGTGGGAACAGTTTGGGAATGGCCCCTTCCTGTTCCAAGATGACTGTGTACCAGTGCGCAAAGCAAGGTCCATAAAGACATGGATGAGCAAGTTTGGTGTGGAAGAATTTGACTGACCTGCACAGAGTCCCAACCTCAACCCGATAGAACACCTTTGGGATGAATTAGAGCGGAGACTGCGAGCCAGGCCTTCTCATCCAACATCAGTGTCTGACCTCACAAATGCGCTTCTGGAAGAATGGTCAAAAATTCCCATAAACACACTCCTAAACCTTGTGGAAAGCCTTCCCAGAAGAGTTGAAGCTGTTATAGCTGCAAAGGGTGGGCCAACATCATATTAAACCTTATGGATTAAGAATGAGATGTCACTCAAGTTCATACGCGTGTGAAAGCAGACGAGCGAATACTTTTGGCAATATAGTTTATGTCAAAAGCTGATTAGCTTTGTTAGGCAAGTATAAATAAAACACTAATAAGCTTACCTCAGGAAAAGGTTGTCAAGGCGAAGGTGGCAACATTTCATGCATTCAGGCTAGGGTTATTCCCTCTAAATCACACTGCTGTATGACTGTGTGTAGTCAGAATTCTTGGTTAATAAAGAATCTGACAGTTGACTAATTGCATCTATTTATTTATGTATATGCATTATGGTTACAACAAATATTCAATAGAAATAGGGCTGCAACAAACGACTAATTTGATAGTCGAATAATCTATCGATTATTCAAACGCATAATCGATTATTCGGATTATGAATCATTCATTTACCAAATAACTCTTATGTAGCTATAGGCTGTTAAATGTAGTTTGAGGTTGTTTTTATACATTTGCTAACTAACAATGAGGATAAATAACCTATTCAAAAGATCACACTTTTAATGAACTTTCCTGCTAATACAAAAGATAAATATAACTCCAATATCTTTTTCCTGTCAAAAGTACCAAGGATGTGCAAAGTATCAGCAATAAAACATAAAACTAAATCAGTTTTCCTTTAATCAAGTAAATAAAAACAATCTAAATTAAAATTTTAAATTTACACAACGCATTCTGTGCTTTGTGCCCTGTGTAGACAGACAGCACCTAATCTGATCTAATATTTTGTACTAACATTAAAACCTTATTCTCTGTTCATACGGCTCTTTTGTTATTGTTTGCTATCTGATGTCAACCAGAGGAGGATGCGTTCTCCTTTTGAGTCTTGGTTCCTCTCAAGGTTTCTTCCTCTTGCTTTTAGGGAGTCTTTCCTTGCCACTGTCGCCACTGGCGACCCTCACGGGGGCTCGGACCCAGACTTTTTCTGTAAAGCTGCTTTGCCACAACGCCTGCTGTAAAAAGCGCTATATAAATAAACTTTGACCTGACTTGTTGCAACTAAGTGCTACATGTCAGCATCTCTCTGTGCTCCTGTGAGAGGCTCTCTCTCCTCTGAAAGCAGATATTCCCCGCTGCAGAGAAGATGCGCTCTGATGGAGCGGATGGGAAAGTGGCGAATGTTTGTGGCAACCCTCTCTATGAACAGATAAATTAAATTTGAACGATTTTGTGTAAACAGTTCCTTTCAACGGTAACTCTTCATCCAGTTGCCTTGTACCTCCTGAAACTGCGACGTGTTTCCTCCTCAGATACTCCATCATGGAGGATGTGCTCCCATGCCAGCTGAGGTTGGCTTTACAAATAGTACAACTGACAACCTTTTTTTCCTAAATTTTGGCGTGAAATGCTCCTAAAACTTTTGAGAATTTTGTTCTTGAGGCTGTCAACGCGCTTTTGTTAAGTCTCCAGCAAGCGGTAACGTCAAAACATTCCTAGTGAACGTGAGAAACACGCATACGTGATGAGGTCACCAACTAATCGTCTATTGAATTAGTTGCCAACTAATTTGGTCATTGATTTTAGTCGACTAAGACGAATAATCGTTGCACCACTAAATAGAAATACAAAATAATTTCTAATTCCAACATCCACGTGTCAAAAACAGTATCAGAAATTCATCTGTTGCATGTAGAGAAGGAGACCCAGGTTCATCTTGCTTTTGGTTGGTTTAGAGGTCTTTGGCCCATTTTGTGTTCTTACCTCAAATGACCACACCAGAGCTGCGAGAGGACCAAGACTGATTTCAGCAGGTCTCTGTATGCTTATTTGGTGCGATTTTTAATGGCAAACATTCACACTTGTTCTAATGTACCGCACTAACAGAGCACCAGAGTTGATTTTAATCAAATCAAACCATGCGCCTTTAATGTAATATAGTGAACAAAAATGTAAACACAACACTTTTTACTGAAAAGATTTTAGGGTAACCCCACAGAACAGGGCAGTCTGTGAAACAGAATTCTCACATTGGTATTTGGTGTGACCACTGTTTGCCTGCAGCAGAGCAACTCATTTCTCTGAAAAAATCCTGGATTTTCTTTTTTTTTTTTAATCTAACTACTGCTACATTTTTATTGAACAAGTCTGAGACATGCTTGATATTTGCAGCTAAAAGAGTTTTAGCCTGGTTTTAGCTAGGGATGCACCAAAAAGAAAATTTTTGACCGAAACAAAAAAAACAAACAAAAAAAAAAACCAATACCGAATACCAAGCATGGTTTTTCAGAGTGTTTCATTAATTTGCCACTTTTTTCACAATTGCATAAATTAAATAGGCTAAATGTATTTTTGTTTTGGTTTTCAGAGAAAAAATAATTACTAATCTGCAATTTAAAAATATATATTGAACACTGAACATTTTTAACATCCCAGCAGACATACCAACAAAGCACGGTGACTTAAATAAATTAGCAACAAAAAAAACTCCATAAATTAACCCATTTTGACATACTGTGTTGCACTAAAACAAGTTTGACGGGACTAATTTTGCTCTTTTTATAATGAAACAGGCAGTTGGTCAGTGTTCTACAAGTACTGATCATATACATGATAGAATACTACTTGTAAGAATTATCTTCATAGGATTTCAGTAATATTTTCAGTTAGATGAATAATGAAGTAATGACCGTGTCCTGTTTTGTTTTTGTCTTACAGTGTGGAGATGTGCTTTATGAGAAGAGACACTATGAGAAAGCACACTGGGCCTGCATCACTGTCAAGGAGGATACATATGAACAGAGCATCTGTTATGGCTTCATGAGAATAATGAGATACATCTGCCAGCAGAATTCATTAGGTGACTGACTTCTCATATCAACCTGGACAGCAATGTGTAATAGATTTGCAATGGAAAACAGTGTTCATATCAACACATTCATGTAACATGACCAAACAGGTTCTTCTCCCCCCACCTTGTATCTTCTAGGCAGGTATCTGGGTATGACTATACCTATTGTGACTGTGGTTAATACAGATGAGATGCACACCACCCTGTCCAGAACAGTCACAGTAGCATACTACTTGCCCGCAAACCACCAAGATCAGCCACCACAACCCTATGACACAGAGATAGTCATTGAGCAGTGGCCAGCCACCATAGTCTACACTAGGTAAGTTACATGTTTTAGACACTTGTTTTGTCATTCAGGGTAGTTTAATGCGAAATGGTGCATTTTGTAAATCATAAACCTATGCAATGTATTCGTTACCAATTCATGTAATAACTTTCTGCGAGGTAGCTTTTAGATGCATTTAAAATTTTGGACGTCTAGTTCCAATCACTGTGACCATTTATAACTCTTAGGTTTTCTACAAAGGCGCATTTTATGTCAAATCACTTCAAATGACTTTTCAATATTTTAACGATGGAACTGTGCAAACATTTAAAAAAATTAGTGTAATTCCTCTTTCATTTAACAACTCATTATTAATTTTCCAAATTTCAGGCCCTTCGCTGGTGCCACAAATGAAGTTACCATAATCAGTGAGATTAACACTATGGCAGAGATGTTGGATTCTCCAGTAGTCTGCGTCAGTGACTCGTTCATTGTGGCTGGCTATACCAACCCTGCAGCTGCCAACCGTCAGAATGAGATCTGGTTCCTTGAAAGGCCCTGAAGTTTCCCATACTAGAACAGTTCTGTCCCTGAACCTTGTTCTTCATCCCCTTCTCTTCCCACCCAGTCTTCACAATCTGCAAATTTCAACAGTCACTTTGTTCTTCTCAGACAATGAAATGAAAGGACAGAAAGAGAGAACGAAGAGAAAGAGTTTCAAGCACTCGAAGAGTCGTTCTAGTTCTCAAGGATCAATGGACACAATTTTGTCAAGAGATGTGTTAGTTGTGGCTTTTAGCGTCCCAACAAACTAATAGTATCTTTCCTAAGACACAAAAGAAGTTCCTTACTTTTCCAACGACTTGTTGAGGTGCACGGACATTATCGCGTCAGTTTCCCAGGACTGGAACTCAAACCAAGCAAGCACTCGTCTTTGGAAATAACACCCATTCATGCTAAAGGGCATATCTTTGTAGTTTATGAGCATTGCTGCTTTCCCATATATAAAGCTAGAAAAAAATATACCATTACTAGTGATGCTACAAGAACAGCTAGATCGTACAGGGCAAAGATCTCTCTTTCTCTCTCCCTTTCTCACACGCGCACACACACACACCTAAACAGACTGAATGTATCAGTAAAATAGAAATGAAAACATAATAGAAAAACAAACCAAAAACTGAAAACCTTCTGCTGTATGACAGTCATGCATGCTATGTGTACTGTGTACGATCTCCATTGTGAAGGTCAGCATTCCTCATTGTTAAAGCCATGATCACACAAGACTCTAGTATGCCTACCAGTTCTCCAGTTCTTTATCTCCTGCATTGCATTACACCAGCATTATTGAGTGTACACATACAAGCCACTGGACACTATTGCTGCCATAGTGTACATGAGGGAAATGTATACTCTACAGAAAAGACAAACACATACACACAACAATTCAAATGTTATTTCAAAAGTTATTTCAAACATTACTGTTTTTAATAATAAACAATTTTATTTACTACAACTGTGTGTAGAATGATAAACTGAGCTGTAAATGATTCCAGAAGTGAGAAAAATGTATAACACCAAGAGTTATATTCAGAGGTGCATAGTAATGCATTACATTTATTGTGCAACATTTACGTGCAACTTTTTGAGTACTCATATAAATCATTTAGAGTATACTTCATATTGTTACTTGAGTGCAGCTGTAAGTATGTTAATGTTACTTTCACCGCATTACATTAGACTGCATTGTTCCCACAATTGTTTGTCATTTTTCCTAATTTTCTCCCCAAATTAGTCCGGTCTAATTTCACCCACTTGAGCACATGAGCACAGTCTTCCTATTAAATAATGTGAAGCACCATATGTGTATCTTTTTAGCCGCTAACGCAAAATCTGAGGAGAATGCTAACTGCCAGTTCTGTTACATCAGCTAACATCACACTGAGGGAGGAGGGGAGAGGGAGAGGGAGGGGGAGAGGGAGAGGGAGAGGGAGAGGGAGTGCCACCCACAACGAGTGAAGTAAATTTTGCTCTCTTGGACTCCTGGCCACGGATCACCAGGGATTGAACTTGTGAGAAATATTTTACCTTTCATCCTTATTTAATCCACTGTTGTTCGTTAGTCGCACCCTTACACCTCTGTCAAATCATAATAAAGTCATGTGCATGACTGCATCGCTAATCCAACACAGCCTCTTAACTGTGATGAATATGAACTAGCAGTGTGAAAGTGTAGCACTAATTCCACTGCTCAACAGGATGACCACAATGACAAACAGGAGGCAATTCTATGGAAGGAGATCATCAATTTTTCCGATCTTCAACTGTCCAGTTTTGGTGCTCCTGTTCCCTCTGCAGCCTCGGCTGTTTGTTCTTGGCTGATAAAAGTGGGACCCAATGTGGTCTTCAGCTGTTGTAGCCCATCCACCTCAAGATTTGATGTGTTGTGCATTTGAAGACGCTTTTCTGCTCACCACAATTGTACAGAGTGAGTTATCGTCGCCTTTCTGTCTTTATGAACCAGTCTGGCCATTCTCCATTGACCTCTCTCATCGGCCACCAACAATCATGCCATCAAAATGTGATGTGAAGTGAACATTACCTGAAGTTGCTGGCACATATAAGCAAGATTGTGCTGCTGCCACACTATTGGCTTATTAGATAACTGCATGAATGAGTAGGTGCACAGGTGTAACTAATAAAGGTACACACTGCACAAAAGTCTTAGGCATCCAAGAAAATATGTAGATATTTTTCTGGCTAGTAAGCGTTAATTTGGTCAAAAACAATCAAACATTCACCACTAACATTAGATTAACTACAAAAAAACATTCTGTGATTGTATGTCTGTTACTGTTTTAACTATTTCCAGATCTCTCCTTGAGGAAGCCTCTGATTTACAGTTACCATTGAATTCCTGGCTAATCAGTAATTCCTTAAACTGCATTCTTCTAACTGTATTTTAATCTAAACTTTCAAAGCCTATATTAATATAAAATCCAGATCTATCCCTCATATATATTCTTGACAAAATGCATCAACCTACACATTATGTTGCATGAAAAATAAAGGAAATGTAAAATCAACATGTATCAGATGTAGGTTAAAAAAACAAAAAAACAAAAACCTTTTCTTGATCATAGGGCAGGAATGATTTGGGGAAAATATATAATTGCAATTTTCCTCACTGATACTGTGACTGCATTTTAAATAATGATTATAAAATCAAGGTCCAGCCCTATTTTTTTGCCATAAAAACCAGCATAAACACTTTGTAGCTAGAACAATGAAGTTGATGTTTGACAGTTTCTTGTTGCAGATTAATCATATAAGGAAAAAGCTGGAATGCTTATAAATGCAAATAAGTCCATCTCCAAATTATCCATGTTCATTCTAAATCTCTTTCTCTCTGCCTATCCGTGAGCTACTAGCTAGATTGTTGTCTGTGTTGCTATGCGACCCAGCAGTCTGCATGCCAACCTTCAGAGTTAAAGGTTTGTGAATTAGCAGTTATACATTAACTCCTACGCTTAAGACCATTTATTGTTAAAACTGTTAGAATGATTAACAAAGCTTTATTTTTACTGCAAAGGAGGATTTTTTTACCTAATGGTCTAACTCATCTACAGGCAGTTTACGAATACTGTGATATTAGGATTAAATTCCCCTCCCTTAAAACTTGATAAGACAACATTATTAATATAATAACGACATGCTAGTTTAAATTCAATCAATCATTAAATCACGTCATCAATGCCTGACCATTCTATTAAAAATGCATCCCACAGTCCATGTAAAAGGTAAAACAAATGCTTTGCTATCACTCATCTGCCATTATGCAAGAAAGATAAGCATCTATCAGGAGTCAACTGTTAAAACAGGCAGGTTGTGAAGTGCTGACATGCACTGAGAAAGCAAGGTTTAATACTTAATCTTGTTTGGTGCAGATCATCGTAAAAATCTCGCAAGCAGTTAACTAAACCAGGGTTCCCTTGGACGCAAACAAAGACCTGCAATTTTTGGCTAACGATTTTTTAGTCATTTGGTGTGCAACCAAGTACAACAGAAGTGGTCGCACCTTTCAAAAATGGACCGAACTGAAAAAAATGTTTAACTGGTTCACCCTAAAGTAGGTGCAGAAGCAACCTGAGAAACATCAATTTCTTGTGTTTTAAACCCAGTTGTTTGCAGCACTATAATTTACAAAGCATATTGTGCTTTCACTGAAGACATTAACTGATTTATCCAGCTCAGTCATGCAGCCAGTTTTCCTTGGCAATATTGTGCAAAATCCTGCAAACTGCCTTCACAGTTAGAATGTTTTAATACATTTTTATACACACAAACACACAAAATATACTTTGTATCTTTTATATACTATACATAATTAGTATTTGCTATTTCATAATTAGTCATTTAACAACCTGTCCTGTACACTTGTGCTTACATCTTCGAGTGTTAGACTGCACTGGAGGAAATATTACAGTCGTTCGCACAGTCAGTAGCAGCAGCTGAGCTGCAGCTTTCTAGGCTTGGTTAATGCAGAAGGCTGCGAGACCACGCCGCTGCGTGATGCAGCTGACAGACACAGGTACACCGCAGGCGGGATAGTGGACACACAGGCCTGACTAGCAGACTGATATCGCTGCTGTCAAAAAAGAAAACCTCTCCATTTTTGTAGTTTTTCAGTTTTTGACATGCCTGGTGCCCTTCACATTGTGTGGAAATTTTATGAAGAGTGGGCCAGAAGAAACAGCCCAAAACGACTTGGGAAAAAGTCTAGTTCCATTATTTTACATTAAAAGTAAAGTATGTTTTTCCTTCTCCTATAAAGTTATCATTTTGGAGATATGAGTTTTTTTTTGAAAACAGTGATATGCTAAAGGCCAAATCAAGGATAAAGGCTATGATTACCACAAGAAACTGGTGGTTCCTTCCATATGTCACTCCAATGTTTGCTTCCTTGATAACAACCTGGACTAATATGAACTCTGACTACACTTGTAACTGACTACACAGCGGCAGAGTGAGTGATTACTGAAAGAAGACTGACTCAGCTATTCATGTTAGGGGCTTGTGTTAGCATGTTTTACACTGTTTGTATGTTGCATTTTCTGCTGTATGTGTGACATTACACTGAAACTCTGAGAACTTTTTTTTGTGCTGGCTGCAGCAAATTCTGACTTGGTCCCAACTTTCACAGCATGTGGCATCCCTGCAATTTCAGGCCCTGTGAAAATCCACTGTTGTTTGGTCTCATTTTTCTAAATTTGTAGAATGTGTTCCTATTTTGTCTTCGAATAAGATAATGGATAATGACTGCAATGGACCCTTTTCACAAAGAGTTGCGATTACTTCCGGTTTTAGTCTTAGCAGGGTAAGGCTATCTTCCGCTCTATATAACTACCGCAGAAGCAATGGCAAAATGTTATAGTAGTGTACTATAATGTTCAAACACTGAGCTACAACAGCTATATTTTAGTTTTCCTGCACTGTCGTGACAAACAGCGAGAATAAGAAGTGGATGGAAGCACTGATTTAACTGTAAATAGAGCTAAAATGCTGTATGTGTGTGATAGCCTTGTTTTTACTGCAGTCTGCTGCAGCTGACTCACATCAAGCAGTCTGTGTCTTTGTACAACATGCCAGCAATTTCTGTAATATTTCTGTTTTAAAAAGAAAGAACTTTTATATGTAGTATGAAACTGATTGTAGTATGAAACTAGTTTACATTAAGCTAGCTACGCTGGCTAAAAGCCATTGCTAACAGTAGCTATTATCCCAAACTGGATTACTCAGCTAACATAAAGCAGTTTTCTGCATCACCACCAAATTTTGTACTTGTCTTTAAAAAGCTAATGCAGGCAATAAACCGTCAACAAAATAATTCTTACATTGTCAGCTTGGTATGAACAGCTAACGTTACATGCCTCTTCTCAGATCACAAACAACTAGCTAGCTATGTCAGAAAACTTAGTTAGCTAGGAGCCGCGTTTTTGATTGAGCAGTGAAAGGTAGATGTTATCCAAAGTACTGCTTTAAAAATTGCCATGAATCTAAAAGAGTGATGCAGTTTGGCAGATCGCTAACATAGCCAGCCAGCTAGCTTTAAAGTTTTACTCATATGAAGCTGGTGTTCCTTAAACGGCTAATGGTAGGCTAGCTAATCAGTGTCTGTAGTCTGCTAGTCTACCATAAGCTAAAAGAGAGTTTAAACGAGGTCTATCAAGTAGACTTTACATATAAAATATTTGGGTAATGTTATAGAAATCGCCAGCATGCTGTAAATGTGTCACAGAACCTGCTCCACATTAGCCAGTTGGTGCTAGCAGCTAATGAAAACTAGCTTCCTTGTTTGGGAATACAGCTACAGTTAGCAATGGCTTCTAGTGTAGCTAGCTAGCTACATCTAAACAACAACTACCAAATTCATATTACATATAAAAGTTCTTTCAGAAATATTACAAAAATCACTGGCATGTTATACAAGACAGAGAGACTGCTTGATGTGAAGCAGCAGTAGTAAAAAGGACTACACCACGCATGCTGCATTTTCACTCGTTTAAAATTAAATCCATCCACTTCTTATTCTCACTATTTGTCATGAGAGTGAGCAAAAACTAACATATGTCTGTTGTAGCCCAGTATTTGAACATTATAGTACACTACTATTACATTTTGTCATCGCTTCTGCAGTAGCTATCTGGAGGGGAAGTTAGTTTTACCCTCCTAACGCTTAAACTGGAAGTAATCACGACTCTTTGTGAAAAGTGTCCATGGGAAGAAGGACTGGTAAAGGATGGCTGCCATTGCTCTAAAGTCAGAGCATTACAGCTTTCCAGTGAGACAAGAGAAACTGGTCTGAGCAGCAGTGCTGTGAAAGAGGGATGACACAGAATGAGCTTGTTCACTGGCAAAAATAAGCCCACAGCACAGAAAAATCAAGACAAAGTACAAGTCACAAAAAGACTAAGTGCAAAGCCAGAGGCACCAGTGTGGTCCTCTCCATTTACAACATCCCATCACAAGACGGCAGAAGAGCTACAGAACTGTAAGAAATTAAACAGATTTGTACAATTCAGTGTAGAATCTGTGTTGGGGACCTGGCTAACACATGACAGTACAAGATCATTACTATTTTCTGTAAACATCATTTCAAAACAAGAACTATGACCATGAATTCTACCAGATTTCAATCAAAAACAGGCAGGAAGGTAAAGGTGTCCCAGAAATACACACTGGGTCTTATTCACTAATCTTTGTGTGCAAATGACCAGATTTCTGCACAAATGTATAAACTCTAAGACAAATGAAACAGAGTAAATGGACAGGAACATTCCAGATTCTCCCAACCATCACAGGTATGGTTGAACAGGATGAAACACAGAGATGGCATTATTAAAATCTGTACTATGACTTCAGTATCAGTTATGAATATGCTGCTTGATGCCTGAGACATTAGATTTAAAACTGATTTTGACCAACAAAAACAATTCAGATTTTTTTTTTTACTTTTACAAACAACGCATCAGGAGAAATTCTAAACATCAGGAGAAATACTAAACAATGCACTGAGAAGACAAACGAACTGACGCACCACTCGGTTTAAAGAAATTCCCATTTTCTTCCTTTTCCACAATTCAGACACTTTACATGAACTCACGTGAGTTCATGAGTTCACAAATATATTAATTTTTTTCTCCTTAATATCCTGAGCCTAGAAGAACAAACATCACCAAAATGTCTTTCTTGCTAAACTGACAGGATTCATAATAAAACATCCTCAACCCTGCTTTTGTTGTTAAAAGTCAAAAGTATTCTGTCTTTAGCTCCCTACAAACTGATGCTGCCCCCCCATTTCCAACCTCCAACATCAGCAGTAGCATAAGTGTTCAGAATCGGTTGTTGAGTTTTTCTTTCCTCTGCCTTCTGTATGCCAGCAAGTTGCATATTCTTAATGCTCTATTCCAAATCAGTAAAATCAACGCTGAATATTTAAGATACGTGTTCATAAATATAAAGCTCATTAAAAGCCTTCAAGCCTTGAATTGTATGCAGCTTCAACACAACCATGCCCAGGCAGCTACTTTCACCAATTGTCGTCAAACATCACATGGAGAAACCTGAGGTCACATGTCTTACCTGTAAGTAGCGAGTCTGGTATTCAGTGAGTGACTCTCCTAAAGGGACGACAATCTTTTCCAGAGTGCGTTGGTGAGAGTAGGCCTGAATGTCTGGGCTCTCCTCTGACCGCAGCTCTATATGAGAGATCAGCAGATTGGAGATGACCTGCTGCACAGCCTGAAATGAAAAATAGAGGTCTTAGCATTTTTATTTGCAAAGTATTTCACAAATCCTGCTCTTAGACATTTTTTTTCAACAGCTGGATTTAACACCCTGTAAAACCTCTTGCATACACAAACAGTTGAGGCAGTGTAAACAATTGCCCAGCTGGAAGTTACTGACATTTGCCGATATATATCAAGCATCTCAGAGCGAGAGCACTGATCAGGTCTCATCAGCCTAAGCTGATCGTAGATCAGTATTTTTACTCTAAGACGTTTGATAAATACAGGCCGTTGTTAAGGAAAACCGCTGAGTTGCCTTTACCAACTACTACTGTTCTTGAACCCATCAGCTCAACAACCATCCAGATGAGGTAATCTAGCTCAATATGAAGATTTTACAATGTTCTGATTCCTCTTTAAGCCAACCGCTAAGATCACTGAAGATTATGGACATCTGCGTGACTGTTTTGCTACTTTACCTGCAAGACGTGTCACATTTGCAAATTGTAAAAAAAGGTAAGGCCTGAACATTTAATGCACAGTGTAATGTCTGATTAACTTAACATCTACACCAGGTAAAAGTAGAGTTTTACTAAGGAAGTGTTTTTGAGACACACCTTAATGTCTCCACCAGGTGTAGCGCTGAGGGCCAGAACACGAAACTGTTTTGTCTGGTTCCATAATTCCCGGACCACCTAAAAGACAGGGAGCCATGCACGATAATAAAAAAAAAGGACTTCCGAAGATTTAATAGAAGACAGAAGAAAGTGTTATAGATACCTGACAATATGCATGATTCCCTAGCGCCTTGTGAGCCTCATCAATAACCACACATTTAACTTGAGATCTGGGGCATGTGTTTCGTGACAGGTCATTCATCATCACCTGTGGGGTAAGGAAAAAAACACGTCTTGATCTCCACAGCTCCCTCCTCTGCAGCGCTGGTATGCTCCCTAAAGGACAAAAGATTAAACAAAACAAATTTGTGGGTAAACCTATTTACACTTAACCTACAAACAGATCATTGAGGAATAAAAAAAGACCGACAAAGCTGACGGATTAACAACTACATGAATTTGCCTGTCAGCATTCCTGGCCAACACCCCTTTACTACCATCAGTACCGCTAAAAGGCTCATGGTAGTAAAAACAGCATTTCACTTATTTAAGCAGTGTGTGTTCAAAGCAGTGGACACCTTTTTTACTGCAGTGGAATGCAAAACAATCCTAATGCACACCTGTCAACTCTGCCATATGCTGCTGAGGTATCCCCATCACTTTGTAACATGCTTCAATTTGCTGGGCCACAAGTGGTTTAGTGGGGGCCATAAAGACTATCCTTCCTGAAGGATACCAACGGTAGAAATTATACATCACCACAGCGGCTATAAAGGTCTTCCCAAGGCCGGTGGGCAGGCACACTAGCGTGTTTTGGAACAAAGCAGCTTCTGAAATTTTCAGCTGGTAGTCCCTGGCTGGGAAATTGGTCGGATAGATCCACACTTTTCCTGAAGAGCTGTCGTAGCCTGGAAGGTCTGCATGAATTCCTGCGGAACCTCTTTTTGAGGCGTCAGCCACTGACTCAACGCGGTTCTCCAGAGACTTTTCGGCCTCGTCCGCAGCTATGAGCATCAGGTCATCGTCCAGCTCCCTCGCCTCTTGCGGGGACTGGTTCACAGAGATCGCCCGACCAACCTCAGCCCAGAGGGAGCAACTGGGATACGCATTTTCCTTTTCCCTCTTCTGACTTTTGTCTTGATTTTCGTTTGTGCCCACTTTTTGTCGTTGTGGCGCTTTTTTAAAACAGTGTGTCATCTTACTTGCCCCACTTGCACAAAGACTTGCGCTCCAGGTTTGGAACAAAGTTCTCTGATTGGCGCTGCTCATTTTATTGAGAGTAACCTGGCAAGTCGTCCTGTGTAAATCCGTTCAATACATTATTCCACACAGTACTGTGTTCATCATATAATTTCCATCCTGTGAGTTTAGTGAAAAGAAGTCTAGAACGAGGCACAGTATTTAGCCAGCTAAGTTAGCTAGCCAACGTTAGAAAACACGAACTGTTAGGTAGCTGGCTAGGTTAGCAAACCAGCTAGCGCGCTGCAGCAGATAGAGAGAACTAAGATAGGCGGCTCTCTGACTGCAGCTATCGGCTTTAACTTACTCAGTAACTGAGCTATAGCTACAGACCGACATGAGGCAATTTCAGTAACGCTACTACGTACTTGACATCGATTTTGCTTTTCGAGTAAATTAAGCGACCACTGTAACTAAAGACTCTCGTTTTGGATTTCTTTTTCAGTTCTAGACTACACACATAATCCGTCCAGATTGGCTCGTCTCTTCTAATGTTAGCTTCGTCGCCTAGATAGGGATAGGAAGTTTCAGTGAAGAAAAAATACACTCCATGTCTGCTGCAGTAATGCAACTGCAACGCAACATTTAAACGTACGGAACACACGAATAAATTCCCGGCTTGAATCTCAGTTGTGCCCGTTCTGTTTGGTTAAATGTGGCGCTCAAGAAGGTCAAAGTGTGCATACTATACCATGTATTCAGGAGCGGCAATGTGCGTAAGAGTTACGCAGAAAGTTAAAGGCAACTGCACAGATTAATCTATATTTTACCAACTAGAGGACTTTTAGTACAGATGGTGTCAAGAATTGAATTCTAAATTCAAGTTCAGCATATTTTACTGAGGTGTAAAGCGCCAAAGCAAACCTACAAAATCTAAAGTAAGCGTTGCAACTTTTAAGCATGTGACTTCTGTGGGATTTTACTGAACTAGTTTGTAATAATGCCATAGCAAAATCCTGACAAATGCCAATTCTATTCCCGGTGTGCCACTATTCAAAATGCCATTAAAAAGTTCTGTCAAATCTTTATCACAACACTCCACTGCACTTTCAAACAACACCTTCTCAGTTACTCATCTTATGACTTACGTGAGATTTTACTGTATGGATTTGGAATAATTCCATTGCAAAATCCTGACAAACGGCCATTCACATCCATGTGTGCCACTTTTTACAATGCCATTAAAGAGTTCTGTCAAATTGTTATCATAATACTCCACTGCAGTCTTGAAAAACACCTTCTCAGATAGTCAAGGTATGACTATAATTTGGTGTTACTGTGCAAATTTTGAGTAATGCAAACTGATGCATTCACAAACTATTTAATTCCATTAATGGCAGTATTTATAATGTAATAGCACTATAAATACGAGTTATTATCATCACACACAATCGTGAAGAACATCCTTTCAGGTACTCAGTATATGACTTGTGTATTTTTAATGTAGAAATATAGAAATATTGACTCATCTATCCTGTATAAACGTTGCAACGCTTACTTTTGATTTTGCAGGTTTGCTTTGGCGTGTTACACCTCTGCAGGTTATACTGAACTTAAATTTAGTATTCAATTCTAAGCCATCTGTACCAAAAATCCTTGCAGTTTTTTTCCACGCCATACCGTAAAGCGCGATGCACACACGCACGAAAAAATGTAAGCGATGATAGGTGACCGAGCTTTTCCAAAGCCTGCCCATCTTCTTTCAGCAAGACAGCAAGTTTAAAAAAACACGAAAAAAAGCACCATGGAACAAAGCCAGAACCAATATTCTGCGTTGACGTTGAACAAGGGATCCTTATGACTGCAAAACTAAATAGAGGTCAGAGAGTACCAGTACATGTTTGCAAATGTACTACTTCCCAGATCATTGGCTGTGAGGTTGAGAATTGCAGTTCTAGTCACACTTGGTAGGCTTAGTGGGAAATCATTGCCATGACCCAGTACCTCTGGAACAGTAAACAGATTCCTGAGAACTTGCCACAGGATTTCAAGATTCAGTCTACACCTGTGCTTGGTACGTTGAACCAACTGAGACTGTATGTTCATTCTGTCCAGGCCCAACACCACCTGGTCTATCAAAACCAAGGCTTGTCACAACAGATGCAGCTGTTTATGACCTGTTTTCAGTAAAAGAAAAGGTTTGTGCATTTCCGCTTCTTCTAAAATAGACATTCATTGGTCATTTTAGGAGCCAGGGATGCAGGGCTGAGCAATGAAGACTGGGTTAGAGCAGCAATATACAGTTCTGGTCATGGAGGCAGGGCCACCTGGTAACCCAGGGGTATTGAGTTCTAGTGGGCTGGTGTCCAACAGAATTTGGTGATTTTCCAATTTTTAGCACAACAGCCAAACCTGGCAATTAACAGTGGGTTTGCCTGTTTTTAAGTAGACAAATCACCACACCGTGCAGGACTCTGGCCCTCCAGGACTAGAGTTTGCCACCCCTGATCTCACCTAATTAACATCGGTCAGCTTCTTCCCTCAGGACTGCTGCTAACCAGGTATTATTTGGGTGACTACTTGATGTATCTTTTAACAGTTCATCTCTTCAATTACAGGTGTTCATGTCTACGAAAAGGATTGCTTGGTCTGCAAGACCCCAGTGTCGTTTCAGAACTACACATCAGGATTTCATAACTTTAACAACAAAGTCATTCTGAGCATGCCTTTGTGTTCAATGATGACTTCTGCCCTGAAGACTGTAATCCCGCATTTTGTTTTAACTCAAATAAATTAAATCTGTTGTACATAAAACTCAGTATATCCCACATATTGCTCAACAATTTTAAGCTAAGGGAACGTTTTTGATGATTTTGTACACTCAAATGGCGTTTTTAAGTTGAATTAACTTATTGCTTTTAGTTTAGTCTGTTGCTATGGCAACTTTGAAACCCCACATTCAAAAAATGATGACATTGGTTTTAATTTTTTCTTTCTCATTAAAGTTGCTGAACAAATATATGAAACTGAGTGAAGCTAAGTAAGCTGTAAAATACAGTTACATGTTTTGTTTTGTTAACACAATCTTGTTAGATAAAACGTGTATTTCTTTCCCATATTGAGTGTTTCTTTCCATTTGTTCTACTCACCGTCAATGTGCTTTCATTTCACCTAGGCTGCCTTTCCTCAGGCGTATGTTTTTTTAAATGCTTTACTCAGCTGCCTGATGCTGTGTTGTTGACAAAGAGTGAAGGTTATTGTTGTCTTTGCTGATGAGTGGGCATTTGTGTTCGTCAGTGACCATGTTCACAGTAAAGGTTAATCCTTTGGTGTTTGGCAAAGTGGTAAATATCACTAAATTAGAAAAAAAATTGTAATGAAACATATAGGTAAATTGCAATTTTGAGATGTTAAATTAAAATAATTGGAATTTATGAGTTGCACAAGCATGTGTTTATGTTAGCCTAACACAAAAATTATAGTTATTTTAACTCAAGTTTTCATTGCATATTATTTTTATTTTTTTTAAGGCAACCGGTTTCTCAAATTTTTAAAGTAAATTCAACTTATCCAGGCTTACAGTGAAGGTATACATTAACAATATTCTTTATAATGGAAAACAATATCCAGGGTCATCAACCTCTTCCTTGAGATCTTGTAAACTGTAGAGCAGCTGTCACCAGCCTTATCCACAAAGGGACACTGAGGCTGCAGGTTTTCCTTCCAATCAAACAGGATCTCACTTGATTCCACTTCATTAATCAGTTGGTTTCAACATTTGATAAAGTGATCTGCTTGGTTGGAATGAAAACTTGCAGCCACACAGGCCCTTTGTGGAAAAGATTGGTGACCCCCGCTATAAAGTAAACACAACTTTTTACTCTCTTAATAAAATTTCCTTTAATTTTTCCATAACTTCATCATTGAGATGGTGATGTGAAATGATTTGTTGTAGAGAAACTTACCAACTCATTTATATACAGCGTTGGTAATGTGAACAAGGGGTTGCAATGTCTACAACTGTCACATCTGTTGCAGATTCCCCTCCATGCCAACAGAGGTCTCACTCACCTGAATACTGAATCATGCTGACACCTGGCTCAAATCAGAAGCCAATTAGTGGACTACATAATTAGATTAAGTACAACCCCGAACTAAGCTCTGTGCAAAGTCTTGTTAAGGTTTATCCTAGTGATTCTGAGCAGTTTATTCCTTGTATGTATTTTCTGGGTATGACCCCTTGCTTAAGGATTAAGTTATTGATTTCTGGATTGTGTTTTTGGACTGTTTGCCTTGTTTTGTGTGAAGCTCCAACGGTTTTGACCCTGCCTGTCTCTGTTTATTACTCTTCGAATTCCCCTATAAACCTGCACTTTATTTCAACTACTCTCTGGGGGGTTCATTTTTACAAGACAAATACAGTGAATAAATTAAATGTTTTATTTCATATCTAAAATCACCAGTAAACCCACACACGTCTCCTAAATTGATGTATGTATTGTATTGCTGGCAAGGATAAAAAGCAGTAAATCTGAAAAAGTTTTTAAATGTTTTCCTAACTATCATAACACAATGTCTCAGGCATCAAACAACATATTTGTAGCAATTTCAAGAATAACTTTCTGTGGGTGCTTTTCAGGCATCGGACTCCTCTGTTTACACTACTACTGTGAACAATTCAGACTAGTTGCTGTACAGAACATTTCATATTAAACTACTGTGAGGGGCTTTTATTTACATCTTAACAATATTATGCAGAGATCTTGAAAGATCATTTAAATTCCCATTCCAAAGAGGCATGTTAGATTTGGGTTAGAGTTGAAACCAATAGCAATGAAAATCTCCAAGAAAAGGGCTGGTGGCCACTGCTAAGTTGTTATTTAAATTGTTGTTATTTGCCAAATTAAATTTCATTATATTGCCACCTCAGTACACCATTCATTTTTCTTTGACACTCCTCAGACAAACACAGCAATAGGACGTTTCTTATCCATGATGGAAGATCAATTGAGTGTTCATTTACATCACAATACTTTGAGAAAAGCTTTCTTTCATTTCTGGGCAATGACCAATTACAGTTAGGATCTATTTTGCAATGAATGTGGTCACCATTCTCCTAATGTCATTGGCGATGCAAATGGGAAGGTAGCGTTTTTTGCCAAAAAATGTTCATTTACACATAAAACTCCAACACCAAGTATAATATCAAATCTATCTGTATTTAATTTGTCCACTCTTTGCTTTTGTTTAACCTTCTGCCACATCTGTGTTAAGGGGAATTCATTAGTATTAGTACCACCTTTACTGCTACAGAATTACCGTTACTGTTACCAGTATTGTTCTGCAGTTTTGTTAGTCTTAGTATTATTCCTTTCTGTGATTCTGCATTGAGTGGTGAAAGAACCCTCAGAAATACATTTCAAATGCAACATTTATTTAAAAGCATTTTGACAAGAATAGTCTTCATTGAATGCTCTGGGAACACTATGAAATTCCTGATTATTACTGCTTGAAAGTTTGCAAATGTAAGTGTTTCCCTTAACAAACAGAGGAAATTTGTATGAGACAATCCATTTTTGTTCCAATCAATAAAAAATGCTCTAAAAAAAGGAACATTTCATTGTACTAAGAATTTCACTACAGAGGCAGCTCAACTGTTAATACTGAGAATCTGGTGTGGGATAAAAACTGTCTGCTAATACTAATGATTATATTAATTGTTTTGCCTTTGCTGACAGAAATCATTTCAATTCAGTGAAACTGTTCATAGCAGCATTCTTGCTGCTTGTTTAGCCTGTCTTCTATCTGCCAAGATTTAACACTATAGTCTGCTCCCGCCTTAAGGATAGATAGAGGTTAAGGGCACCACACACATCTACAGGGACACTGAGATGGCGCTGTGCCATGATGTGTATACATACAGTGAACACATCCTTATCACAAGGTACATCTTAACAGCGAGAACATTCATCTTCGCAGCACTGACATTTTCTACTCACCTGTTGCTTAGCTAGCTGCTAGGCCTACTGTTGTATGTTTAGTTCCATCAGGAAATATTAAATTAATCCACCACCAACCGAGATGATCTCCATTACTGATTTTCAGACTTTTGTAAGCGTTCGCTTACAAAAATAGCCCAGTTTCTGCTTTCTAGCTTAGCCATTTTACCACTGAACAAAAGTCTTCCATCACGTTCAAACCTTTTCATACATTTGTAGTTTTTGCTCAGGCCAATTAAAGTTTTTTTATTTTTAAATTATTTAAAAATGCTGACATTGTACCATACATATAAAATTACAGTTACATTTAAAGAACTGATGTAAAGGTATGACTGAGCATTACCTATACGTGTCCAACTATTTAAAAAAATCACATGGAATGGATTATTTGTGCTGGAATGTTTAAGTGACAGCTGATTATGGCACTATCATAAATGAAATGATATAAGTCTGCAATCACTTTTTACTGTAAACAGACAATAACAGACATTTTAGAAAATTATTTGTTAAGTTATTTATCTAAGCAGCAAGTGTTATTTGTTCCAGAAAAAACTAACATTAGAATAAATGCAAATAAACAAATAAAAATCCCCTTGTGATTTGGTGTGCATTAGCTAAACCCTTTTCTAAAACTCTCCTGAATGAAGTCTAGTCAGAGCTGGTCGCGTAGGGCCCCACAAATTACACAAGGCCCCCGCCTCTACTTTGTGTATTGTGTATTAAATATTGAATTTGAAATGATTAACTGGACATACACTGTAAAAAGTAATAGCTTTATCTAATTCATAAAAAGTGAGGTAAGTGGTTGCATTGGACCTTTTGAGTTGAGTCAACTTCAAGGCTTTTTTAAGTAGCATGAACTCAGTAATATTACTTAAAATGAACTCAGGAAGGTCAAACTGAGTTAACTAACACTACTGATACTTACTTAGACAAACATAATTTTCTTGGTAAAGGTAACTTAATTAAAATGAGTACAGGTTACTTGTAGCAACCTATGTACAAGTTTGAGTAACTTAATTTTCTTAGTAGTATTACACTAATCACAAATGTGTATAAACTCCATTAAATTCCAGGCTACAACATCTGGTAAATAAATTATGCTGCATACATTTCTCTATAATTCTTGTAATAATTTCTGTATCTACAACCATTACCTTCTGATTGACTTTACATAATTAGACAGACCTGTCAACAACAATCACTATTCCAAGTTAAGAAGAACAAAATGGAATACAGATTTAACATTAGAATATTTGTTTAATGTTTAGCAACCAATTTCACTTCTAACAATGACTGGAAAACAGATCATAAATGTGGCCATAAATGTTAACGAAAATCATCAATAAAAACAAATAAAAAATTGACTCAAGTATATATGGATTTTGAAGTAGGAATTAACAATTAGGCACAAAATATTCAAATTTCCAAAGCTGCAATGTTTTGATTAAGGTAAATGCGAGACATAACATTACACTGACTCAGTGAAATTGCTGTATCTGTCAAAGTAATTGCATCAAATATGGTTTTTGACTATATTTTCAGCCCTATTTTAAACAAACATTATTTTTAAAGAACTGAATTGTTCACACAATACTGTTGTCTATTTACCTCATGAGGTAATGACTGGTACAGAACACAGTCCAAAGTCTATTTTCATCAGAAGCACATTAGAATGATCACAAAAAGAAAACACTAACTGTAATTCTGTCACATGAGTAACTTGCCAAAAGACAACTTATTTTCAACATATGTAACAGATCAAACTGAAAACACTCAACTGTCAAGTCAGTTTTAAGGCTATCAAGTTGAGATTACTTGCATTTTTTAATAATGGCAAAAGTTATTGAGAAGTAATCTAAGACATTTGTGTATTTAGATGATGGTTTAGGGCGCATGTGATCCATTCCAACAAAAATGCTCTGATAGGTCTCAAAAGTGTGCACAAGTTTCGGTGCATACTTAAGTTCCAGGGCATAGGCAAGTCCAAAGAGCAGGCAGCATGCTTTTGATAGGTCGTTTGGTTTAGGTTTTTGATAGATGTCACTGGCTGTCCTTCCATGATGATGCCAATGGCATCAGGCTGATGGCACACATAAATTTTCATCAGGCAACTGCTGAGTTCGGCTTGCACGTTGGTTTCATTGTGAGTCTATTGGTGAAGACAAAGAACAACAAAGGATTTTGGTCAGAGAAACAGGTAATATGATTAAACATATCAACAGGTTAAAAGATAGCTCAAAATCAAAATTTTACAAGTGTTACTAAAGGTGATGGATACTAGACAGATCAGAGAGAGAGTGGAGCAGGGGGATTTTGTATGGAGCGAGGACCAGATTTTTCACGAAATTAGAGCAGCGCCTTATCTCCTGCTCCATCCCACTCCAGATTCACTCTGGTACCACTCACACTAAAAAGGGTGTTTAAAGTTAACCCTAACAAAAGGTTAACCACATTGCTGGATTTTGCGCTTCTTCCTGTCTGCTGCAGCCTCTCTGCTCTGCATGTGTGTATGTGTCAGTCAAACAGACACACCAGCTGCACACAAAGAGGACAGGGAGGGAAGCAGGGGAAACAAGCAGTGAACAATTTTCGTTGAGTGGGGTAAAAACTCTGTTGAGCACGGAGCAAGATGCAGCAGACCAGCCAGATGCAACTGTAAGCGAGTAGTGGAAATTCTCACCAATCCACTCCACTCACATGCTCTAAAAGAGACAGATATGGACCTACAGTAAGTATGACAGCATTGGCATACAGCATCTTTAAATATGCCTGCGGGGTTTGCCAATCTTAATTTACGATGATGAATGTTACTGATGTAATATCCTGATGACTGTTCATCCTCAAGTCAAGTCAAATATCTTTTGAGAGCAATGGTAATCATCCCTATATTATCACAATTTCAATACATACAGAAAAGTAGCTTTAAACCAAACACATACGTGGTGGTCAGTGATGAGTTCTTCTTGTCTCTCCCCCATGTATTCGATCAGACATCTCAGGACCACTTCTCTCCTTTTCCCCCACAGAGGCAGATGGATCCTATCAAAAAGTAAAACCTGATCAAAATTCACAGCCTGATGACAACCAGCACAAACCCCACACCCTCTGTATTTAAACTATGCAGTATAACAGACCACATATTCAGCCACATTTTGCATTTTCACTATCACTTCTGAGACCAAAATATACAGTATATGCACATTATTTACTCAATTAAGTTGGGGGGCAGGGGTTGGGGGTGGGGAACCAACATGTGTTTTGACAGGAGTTGCTTGCCTCATAAGAAATGGGACCATCAAGATGTTTTTAAACTAAAACGTGTTATACCAAGCAGCATACTCCTTTATATCTCAGTGCATAGCTTGTCTGTCTAATGTTAGCCAGTGTAAGGTTGAGCGAGAGATGTGTGTGCGCGAGCAAGAGACAGCAAAAGGGAGAGCAAGCAAGCCCAAGAAAAACCACTAGCTAGCGAGTTAGAGAGCATCTGTGCTGGTGAATATAAAGTTAGTACTAATGTTATAGCTGTAAAGGTAGCAGGGCAGTGTGGGTACAATTTATTCTACCTGTCAGTGAAAAAAATGTTACAACTCCTCAAGACCCAAGCCAAGTTTTGTGTCTTGCTTGCCACCTGCAAATTTAAGTGAAGGGGGTCAGCCTTGAAGTTAGCGGCAGCTTCGGCCCAGGCTCACTTAAGGTGGACTGACCTTTAAGATGGACCAGCTGCTCTCATTTTAGTGACAAGCTGCTCCTCCGTAGGTTTTTTGAACCTACAGTTCAAATAAGTTGCTTTGGAGCTTGGAGTCTAAATGTATATTTGCTAACAAGTTTTGTGAGGTACAGCCTCATATAACTTTACACATAATGCCAACAACAACAACAAATAATAATAATAATCATAACAATAATCTCCAGTGCTTTTTTGGATGAAAAATGTTTTACATATCATTTTCTTCCTCTTACCTGGATGAGTGCCAATATCTGGGACTTGATTCTATATATTATTATCATTATTATATATCCTATATATTAGTTTGGTGCCTTTTGTGAACATTAAAAATTCATACAACATAGGCTAAGATTTTCACAAACAGCACCGAGGGGGATAATCACATTAAATTCAAAACTGAAAACCGAAAATAAACCTGTTCTCTGGTGTCTGGAGCTGTAGCCTCCCAGCTAGCTAAGCTAATGCTAGCCAGCGCCTATCTCCAACTTAGCATAGCTGAAGAGATCCAAACACTGCATTGCAGGTTCGATTTGACTAACTGGTGCTCTGATATCACAAGCATAGACAATAACATGTACAACAGCGACAGCAAAGGAAAAAGTCAGAGTAACAGAAAGCCGAACTCGAACCTGTTCTGCAGCTAGTGCTTTAAGCTGTAGCCTGCTATGCTAAGATAACGCGAGTGCACTGTGTCTCCCACTGCAGTACGGGATTGGTTCTAGCGAACCGATGATTAAAAACACCCGTTTAGGGGATAAAGTCTCATATCTAAGGGCACAAATTCGAATGCCCGGTGTCGAAGTGACAGAAAGATAAAAATATAATTGTTCGGTGGTGCTTTGAGCTGAACCCTGCCGGGCGACGTTGTAGCTAGTTATCCGGCTTCAGGTGAAACCCACACCGGGACTACGTTGGTTAGCACAGACCAGCCAACTTAGCTTGTGTGCAGGGCAGCTAGGTTAGCTACAGTACGATTTTACTAACGTTAGCTGCCGAACGGTATCTTTGAAGTCATCAGTTTAGAGTAATTTTACATCATCAAACATTCAGCTAAAATTGCTCAACTTACCGTGTTATCCAGGATCCATAAAATCTAGAGCGGCAAGCAGGCTGTATCCTACAGCCAAGGAAGATGCCCAGTCTGCCCGGGAAAAGTTAATTCTCAGTCCCAGTGCAGGATAACGTTAACTAGTTTTTTACCACGTTTCATGTACAGACGCACTGACAACTAACTACTTTAATAAACTGAGTATCTTAACTCAATTTTACAACGTTTCATGTACACAATAATTACATTGACATATTTACTCAAACTGTGATAGTTTTATTTAAAATATGCTGCTGTATATACACTGATATATTTTGAGTAAAGGGAAAGAATATTGATATTTTTAGGATAAAACAAATAAAGTAGATCACAATGATTTAAAGTATTTTAAACCTACATGATGGCTGTAGCACTTTTTACAGTGTACTGAGCAAAATTAATGTTCATCTTTCAGTAAAAATAACCATGAAGCATTCTGCCAAGCAATAGTGTAAATAGTATTTTATATTCGAAAATGCATAAAAGGAACTCTAGGGAAGCCAGTTTCAATGGGCCTGATGCAGCTGATACAATTAATAATAGTTGACTATTATCTTTGGGTGCTGAAATTTTAAGCAGCATGTGACATAAACAGTGAGGTCATACATTTGATTCTTTTGGATACTTTATATCAAACAGAATGTGTCATACTGCACCATACTGGGATGAGAGATGATAATATATGCATAAAACTGACACATCAGACCTCTGATGCACATCCTCTCTCTGCTCGCTCCTTCTGCAAATTAACAAAAGTGGGTTTTCCATTTACCCCGTTTTTTTTTCTTTTTTTTAATTTTGAAAGTGCTCAAAAAAAAAATCTGAATGGAAAAAACTCTGAATGTCGAACAAAAACTCAAACATCTGAAAACGAGTTTTTACGTTAGGACCCGGTGGAAAAGTTAGAATATGTTGTTCAAATTAACGATCACGTATCCTACAGATGGTCCAATGGTTGCACATAGCTATATATATATATATATATATATATATATATATATATATATATATACACACACACACACACACACACACACACATACACACACACATACTGTGTATATATATATATATATATATATATATATATATATATATATATATGGCCATAAAAAGGTGGCAAATGGCTGTAAAGATAATTCTACTTAAAGCAAAAACGTAGTTAAATCTCTCCATCTTGATGCATTTCGATGCAGCCCCTTATCATGGTAACCTGTGTCATCTAAAGTTTCTTTGCGTAACTGTAGTGAATGGAAACACGACTTAATGTCTAAATTTTCTTTCTGTCGATATTTTGTAAATGCACATATTGTTTGCAAAATGTTTGAATGTAAACCCGGCCTAAGTGGCGACCAATCAGATTGTGGCGCGGTAGCCCATTGTCATGCCCACAGTCACGAGGTGATTTATTATGATTTATTATTTAAAAGTTTAAAAACAGTGTTATTCTGCTTGGGGTTTAGAACTGGCCTCAACGTCTGCACGTTCTCTTTGCACCTCAACCTAAGTTTGTCAGTAGAGGAGTAAATATTGATTAATTGACAAATACTGTTTGTTTATACCTCATTCTGTTCTGGACAGGTCTACTTATTCTTAGACTGACAGGTGGAGCAAACCATTTTAAAGGAGAGAGGATTGTAGTGGTAGCACGGGGGTGTCAGTTGTAACTGTGTGGTAATTGCAGATGATTTCCGTGGCTCACAGGTCAAGTAGAAGAGCGCCTTTGTAGAATTGAGCTTGGCATCCCAGGGAGGTCGGGACCGGTTTTAGTATTTACAGTCACTTTCCAATATCTGTTTTATCTAATCGGTACTTCAATAAATTATTACAGACGTGCTGCTGATGGAATTTAACAAATCGAAGTGATAGCTGGAGTGCAGTGAGAAGTCAGGAAACAAACCTGTGTTGTTTTAACTATACTCATCCAACCTTCTTAATAAATAACTTCACTACCAAACAACACATTATTTTTACTGTATTTTATTTCATTTGTGTTTATGCCAACATTATATAGCAAACCAAAATACAGGTTGATTCAAAAAGATTCATCCGATTTCAAAATGTTTTATTTCACTTGTAAATCATGACAGAACAATGCAGTAAATTGTAAATGGTTTAAGTGAGCATAAAGAGTATTATGTAATTTTACAAGTGCGCAGTATGACCTCCTCCAGCTGTACGGACATCAACGCGATAGTCAAATTCATCCCACACTCGATTGAGCATGTCGCGTGTCACTGTACTCACAGCTCTTTCAGTGCGATTTTGGAGATCATCCAGGGTTGTGGAACCAAGGACAAATCTTCTGAGCTGTTGGAGGTTCACTGCTGACGAAAATCACGTTGCACAGTTATGACGGATTCACTCTTATTGAAGTGGAGAACGCAAAACGCTTTCTGCTCAGGGGCTGCTATCTCCTCGCAGACTGAAGGGAGCCATCTTCCGGTGACAATAAGAAAAGGCTTGTTCGAGATGAACTGCGCCTCACTTTGGTGGTCAGCGAGAGCAGCCGGTTGCAGTTGGCTGAGGAGGGTAGAAAAGAGCCGTCAAGTCGGACAGTCGCCACATGAAACCCCCGTGAGCTGGCGGATCTCGCGGAGTTTGCATTCTTCGTAGCTGATGAAGTGGATGCAGTAGAAATCCCTCTGTTATATGCATGAAATCGAGTAGGATGAACAACGAAGGTGAAAGGGCGTTTATTTAATCGTCTGTAGGCTAAACAAAATATTCTTGATCATAGTTGCAGGTTAAACCCAGCGTTTGTTTTCCAAATCCACAGTTGTGACTACACTGTAATGTGTAAAAACCATAAGATGTACGGCAGCAAAAGTTGCCAAAAAGTTCCCGTAATGTTACAGTAAAATACTGTACAGTGGATTACTGTAAAATTACAGCTTTTCCCTGTAAACACTTGTGTAATTTGTAGAATTACAAATTTTTCATTTCCAGAATGTATTAAAATCACAGAAATACTGCATAAATACACTGAAAATCTACAATTTGAGGGCTGCTATCTTTTAAATAACAGTGTAATTAGGTTATTTCATAGAATTATTTAATCAGTCTACAACATGCACCTGTCAAAGTACAGATTTTTAAAGTAAAATAAAGAAACGTTATTTAAATTAAGTCACTTCACTGTCTTTTCGATCCTATTAAACATTTTTTCAGCAGACATAATCTATCAATAAACGTTCTTACCCTACAAATTTACAGTGGATAACAGTTAAATGTTGGTTGATCTGCCTACCAACTATTACAATGTACTGTTTATCCACAAGATACCGCTGTTACAACATTGGATTCTACTGGTTAAATACAGAAATACAATGCAAAATTACATGTAATTAACCCAATATTAAAGTCGATGGTTATTGTTTTTATTTTATCATTCAGTATATTCACAGAATTTTGGCATTATCAAAAAATATATACTATACTTTTGTGGTCATTTTGTTATATTCCAGTTTTTATACAGGAGTCAATATACTTAATTACATGAACATTTTGCACAATTACCTTTTACTTCAGCAGATAAAAGAATGGTGTACATTAATTTTACACAACCAATACACTATTGCGCTTTCAAAACAATGTAAAACGTTTGGCCAGAACAATTAAACCTCAACAATAATACACTTTTTAAATCTTTTTATTTTGACAGTTGAACTTTAACAATCAAGACATCACCCAGCAACTTAGCATTCAAAATAAACACCAAATGGAGGCAAAAAGATAGCTACTGTAAATCTTTCTACAGTTTTAAAGATTTATAATGTCTGTCTAAAACAAACAATAATGTGAATTAGAGCACTAATTACCTCCTGTATCATTCTTGATTCATCTGTAGTTTGGACTGTAACTGCACTTACTAAAAAAATCAGATTGGAACTGCATGAGAAAAATGTTTCTCGATTTCATTTACGCCTGCTGAAAACTAAACCAACAATTTGAGGGACTAAGCAACCACACTACACTCAGGCTACACTGAATATGCCTCTAGAATGAGGACTTTTAATTGGCTAATACAAAGCACAAGGGCCAATAACAGATCCTAGTACTGCAACAGTTATTACAGTCCTTAAAAGGGGCCCATACACAGTTGTTAAGGGCATTTTCAACAATGACAGTAAGTTGGAAAATGTGCTGACAATACAAACCCTGAAAAAACTGGGACATTTTGTAAAACGCAATACAAAGAATCTGTGATTTGTTAATTTCCTTAAACTTTTATTTAAGTGACAAACAAAGAAATTATTTTTAATGTTTTGCTGATCAACTTAATTGTAATTGTGAACATAAACAAATTTTGAATTTGATGCCTGAAACAAACTCAAAAAAAGCTGAGATGGGGCAAAACAAGAGTGAAACGTTTATAGAATATTCAAGTTATTCCATTTTGAAACATTCCACAGTAAGCTTGTGAACTGGTAACAGGTGAGGGGATCATAATTGGGTATAAAAGGAGCGTCCACCAAAGGCTCAGTCTTATCAAGCAAAGAGAGGATTTTCATGAGAGAATTGTCAAACGGTTCAAAAAGAACACTGCTCACCACAAAACTGCAATGAATTTTGGCCTTTCATGATTTACTGTACATAATATTTTGAAATGATTCAGGGAATCGGGAGAAATCTCAGTCCATGTAAAGCAAGGCCAGAAACCATTGCTGAATGCATGTTATCTTCAAGCCCTCAGATGGCACTGCAGGAGAATGGAGGGAGTACTTCAGGAGTACTGTGGAAAACCATTGTGAGTTAACACAGTCCACTGCTACATCAAGAAATTCAACTTTAAAACTCTATTGAGAAGGAGAAAGCTGTGCATCAATACTATGCAGAAACATTGGTGAATTCTCTTGGGCCCAGGCTCATTCAGACAGACTAAAAGACAGTGGAGATGTGTTTTGGGGAAAATGGATGTCAAACTCTCCATTCCAAAGATTAAAATGGACCATCCAGACTTTTGTCAGTGAAAGGTGCAAATGGCAACATCTGTCATGTATGGGGGGCATCAGTGCCCATGGCAGGGGTGAACTGCATATGTGTGAAAGGTACCACTGTTGCATTTATTGATATTTTAAAGAGACATA